TTGTCTGTTTGAAAGCAGACAAGGTGGATTCTATCACACATTTGTAGTAAGGGCTGAAGACCAATCCATTAAATGGATGTTATCAATAATTTGTAGAGTCAACATGTTTTAAAGATGGTATTTGTATTAATATTATTGCCGTTGTTGGTGGTGGCTATTTTTTGACTTTGTTTAGTTGATCCGATTAAAGTGACTGAGCAGTGATCGCTGAGGTTGTTTCGTAAGATGTCTACATAAGAGGTTTTACCTGGCAAGTGTTCAGAAAATAATTTAAATAAATAAATAACGCTATAAATGTTTAAAATGCGTGGGGTTGGCTTTAGTAGGCAATTTGGATTTAAATCGCTGAGGAGAATCGATTCTAAAGCTGAAAGTGGAAGCAAGAGGTCGCAGATCCCATGGATTGCTGTAACAGGAGCCATCGAAAGATGGTCGCATAATGCAAGTTGGAAACACGCCTTTGACGATAGCCGGACCTTGATAATGATTCATTAGAATTCCTTTGGATGAGTTACAGATTATACCGGTGAGCGGTTGTAATGAGATTTAGTGTGTATATTTAGTGTGTATATTTAGTGTGTATATTTGGTGTGTATATTTGGTGTGTATATTTAGAGTGTATATTTAGTGTGTATATTTGGTGTGTATATTTAGTGTGTATATTTGGTGTGTATATTTAGTGTGTATATTTGGTGTGTATATTTAGTGTGTATATTTGGTGTGTATATTTGGTGTGTATATTTAGTGTGTATATTTAGTGTGTATATTTGGTGTGTATATTTAGTGTGTATATTTAGTGTGTATATTTAGTGTGTATATTTAGTGTGTATATTTAGTGTGTATATTTGGTGTGTATATTTAGTGTGTATATTTGGTGTGTATATTTAGTGTGTATATTTAGTGTGTATATTTGGTGTGTATATTTAGTGTGTATATTTAGTGTGTATATTTGGTGTGTATATTTAGTGTGTATATTGTGTATATTAGTGTGTATATTTGGTGTGTATATTTGTGTATTGGTGTATATTTAGTGTGTATATTTGGTGTGTATATTTAGTGTGTATATTTAGTGTGTATATTTAGTGTGTATATTTGGTGTGTATATTTAGTGTGTATATTTAGTGTGTATATTTGGTGTGTATATTTAGTGTGTATATTTAGTGTGTATATTTAGTGTGTATATTTGGTGTGTATATTTAGTGTGTATATTTGGTGTGTATATTTAGTGTGTATATTTAGTGTGTATATTTAGTGTGTATATTTGGTGTGTATATTTGGTGTGTATATTTGGTGTGTATATTTAGTGTGTATATTTGGTGTGTATATTTAGTGTGAAAATTGGACACCTCCTGGTGGAGCGAGTCGAAGCGGTAAGTGAAGGTGTTAAATCCCGCAATCGAAATTTTCAGAGTCAGCGATCTTTGAGAAGAGCCAGGTTTCAGAGATGCCCACAAAGTCTGAGTTAAAAGTAGAACACATTTGAGTGAATCGATTTTAGGTCGCAGACTTCTTGGGCTTGGGTGCAATATGCAGAGCCCGTTGTGATCAAAAATGTGTTTGTGTCATAGAAATTGTGACAGCATTAATCTGGCTGTTTGTTCTTGGCTTCGTTTATATTCCACCCCTGAGGAGGAGGAGGATGAGCGAGATAAAAAAAAATGATGGGCCCTGAATGGGTAAGGAAAACAACGAGATTTAATTCTGGAAGACTTCCTAGAGGACCAGTATTGAAACAGGTTTATAGAAGGATCTAATTGCATAATGATTGATAAGCCAAAGGGATCCATATATAGTATATGTTGATGAGTGGTGATCTCCAGCTGAATGGAGACAGCCAGCACTAGTAAAAACAGCTTGATACAAAACACAAACTAGATACTAGCAAGCGTTTTTCAGCGTACAAAAAATGTTTCCTATATTTATTCGTGGAAACAATTTTGTAGAAACAAATCAGTAGACAAAATTGAAAAAAGTTAAAGAAAATCAGTGCTCTGACGGGTGGCAAATCTGAGATGGTCAATATCAATGCTGGGGTTCATGCTGTGGTTCATTCTGGGGTATATGCTGGGGTTCATTCTGGGGTTCATTCTGGGGTTCATGCTGTAGCTCAGTGCTGGGGTTCATGCTGTAGCTCAGTGCTGGAGTTCATGCTGGAGCTCAGTGCTGGAGTTCATGCTGTAGCTCAGTGCTGGAGTTCATGCTGTAGCTCAGTGCTGGAGTTCATGCTGTAGTTCAGTGCTGGGGTTCATGCTGTAGCTCAGTGCTGGAGTTCATGCTGTAGCTCAGTGCTGGAGTTCATGCTGTAGCTCAGTGCTGGGGTTCATGCTGTAGCTCAGTGCTGGGGTTCATGCTGTAGTTCAGTGCTGGGGTTCATCCTGTAGCTCAGTGCTGGGGTTCATGCTATAGCTCAGTGCTGGGGTTCATGCTGTAGTTCAGTGCTGGAGTTCATCCTGTAGCTCAGTGCTGGGGTTCATGCTGTAGCTCAGTGCTGGGGTTCATGCTGTAGTTCAGTGCTGGAGTTCATGCTGTAGCTCAGTGCTGGAGTTCATGCTGTAGCTCAGTGCTGGGGTTCATGCTGTAGCTCAGTGCTGGGGTTAATGCTGTAGCTCAGTGCTGGGGTTCATGCTGTAGCTCAGTGCTGGAGTTCATGCTGTAGCTCAGTGCTGGGGTTCATGATGTAGCTCAGTGCTGGAGTTCATGCTGTAGCTCAGTGCTGGGGTTCATGCTGTAGCTCAGTGCTGGGGTTCATGCTGTAGCTCAGTGCTGGGGTTCATGCTGTAGCTCAGTGCTGGGGTTCATGCTGTAGCTCAGTGCTGGGGTTCAGGGCTGTAGCTCAGTGCTGGGGTTCATGTTGTAGCTCAGTGCTGGGGTTCATGCTGTAGCTCAGTGCTGGGGTTCATGCTGTAGCTCAGTGCTGGGGTTCATGCTGTAGCTCAGTGCTGGAGTTCATGCTGTAGCTCAGTGCTGGAGTTCATGCTGTAGCTCAGTGCTGGGGTTCATACTGTAGTTCAGTGCTGGAGTTCATGCTGTAGCTCAGTGCTGGAGTTCATGCTGTAGCTCAGTGCTGGGGTTCATGCTGTAGCTCAGTGCTGGGGTTAATGCTGTAGCTCAGTGCTGGGGTTCATGCTGTAGCTCAGTGCTGGAGTTCATGCTGTAGCTCAGTGCTGGGGTTCATGCTGTAGCTCAGTGCTGGAGTTCATGCTGTAGCTCAGTGCTGGGGTTCATGCTGTAGCTCAGTGCTGGGGTTCATGCTGTAGCTCAGTGCTGGGGTTCATGCTGTAGCTCAGTGCTGGGGTTCATGCTGTAGCTCAGTGCTGGGGTTCATGTTGTAGCTCAGTGCTGGGGTTCATGCTGTAGCTCAGTGCTGGGGTTCATGCTGTAGCTCAGTGCTGGGGTTCATGCTGTAGCTCAGTGCTGGGGTTCAGGGCTGGAACTCAGTGCTGGAGTTCATGCTGTAGCTCAGTGCTGGGGATCAGGGCTGGAGCTCAGTGCTAGAGTTAATCCTGTAGCTCAGTGCTGGGGTTCAGGGCTGGAGCTCAGTGGTGGAGTTCATGCTGTAGCTCAGTGCTGGGGTTCATGCTGTAGCTCAGTGCTGGAGTTCATGCTGTAGCTCAGTGCTGGAGTTCATGCTGTAGCTCAGTGCTGGAGTTCATGATGTAGCTCAGTGCTGGAGTTCATGCTGGAGCTCAGTGCTGGAGTTCATGCTGTAGCTCAGTGCTGGGGTTCATGCTGTAGCTCAGTGCTGGGGTTCATGCTGTAGCTCAGTGCTGGGGTTCATGCTGTAGCTCAGTGCTAAAGTTCATGCTGTAGCTCAGTGCTGGGGTTTAGGACTGGTAGGCAATTGTTATCGCTGGTATTTCCCATATAGCTGTACAGAGTACTAGCCGATCGCCGAGATTTGTGCTTCTGTGGAACGTAGCCTCGAGGTGGATCTCTCACACCAGAGTCGAGTCACTCTCACCGGGTTACCAGCGCCACGCACGTGTAATCCGTGCAACGCAAATCATTCTTCGTGGTGAGCAGCAGCAGCCGCAGCAGTGGCAGCAGGACGGGATGAAGAAGGCTTGATTTGAAGCTTTCGTGACTGCAGGAATCCATACTCTTTGGTTCTTTCGGTTAAGTCACGTAGGAGCAGTTCTCCTGCTGTGTTTGTCTCACCTGATGACGGTTACTTGTGTTGCGATCGAAACGTCGTTATCTATTAATTTTCTATCTACGTGACTTTACCGAAAGAACCAAAGTGTAAAGAGAAGGGTGTCTACACTGCCAAATACAACGCTATCTAGAGGATGTGTAAGAAAGACAAATACTATATAGCAGGGGGCTTACAGTGGTGTGTTTGGGCTGTACTGCAATGGCATGGGTTGCTGTGTAGGGGGGTTTGGAATGGTTTAAAAGTGTGCCTCGGTGCCGTTAGCACGACTAGGATACACGTATTTGATTGTTTATATTTTAAAAATCCAGTTTAGTGGCACTGACGGTGGACTCTTTAGCCTGCAAGTTCAAATCTCAGTCGAGGGTTGTTTCAGCCCATAATGTCTTCCTGGGTCCGTAATTTAAGCACCACTTTACTGACCAGACTGGTCATTGCCACAGTCATGCGGAATTACCACAAATGGCTCCAGATTTCCAGTGATTATGGGCACCGCCAAAAGCTGATTTGAGTATTGATGTACTTTAATTTGCCGATATAATTTGACCGTATTGTTAAGTTGGCGGGTATATTATGGTGGCAGTGGCATTGCTATTGAGTGTGCATGTCATGCAGCTGTACCGGGGCCCACAGGCCCGACCGAACCCAGGCTCCGGCCTAGGACGAGATGGAGGCAGACGGTGAGTGGGCCCCATTTCATTCCTTCCAACAGGGCCCCATCCATGCCAAACACGCTACACCACTGCCGAGATCGGTCATCATTATTCCCCGCTCGGCCAGGGTGTCTCTGCCTGTCGCGCTGAAATGTGATGGACGATTGACGGGAGGTCGCTGTCGATGTGCGCAGGCAGCATGGACGTGTTCAAGAAAGGCTTCTCGATGGCCAAGGAGGGCGTCGTGGGCGCCGTGGAGAAGACAAAACAGGGAGTGACCGAGGCGGCCGAGAGAACCAAAGAGGGCGTCATGTACGTGGGTACGGCCTCGCACGCAGACTGCCCCCACACCTCCCCATCCACCGACGCTCTCCCCAGCCCCCCGCAACTGGACACTCGCGAGCAAGAGATCCAATTAGAAACTCCCACCGGGAGATACAAAGGTTGCCAAGTGTGCGTGATGGCACGGCCCGCAATCACTTCGTGCGTTCGGGTCACTTTTGTCTGATCCTGTTTAATGAGTCTCGCCCGGAGCTGAGGACGGGATAGTTTAATAGTAGGCCTCTGATGTCTGGTGATGATTATGCAACATTCGCAAGTTCGAGCAGAAGACAGTGATGGCGTGTTGCAGGGAGGGGCATTAACGACATTCACTGACTGCATTGACCACCTGACATTGAACGAATATTGCTGTTACCCTATGTCATGGGAAAGTGGAATTTCCACCGCTGAATCAAGGTCAAATAGAAAGATGAGTGTCAGCCAATGTTCTCTTGAGCTGGAAGATTAATTTATTTTGACGTGCATGGAATTTTCCCGAACAACCCACAAGGGTAAGCAGAAGAACTGGAGAGACATTTTAATTTTCATAAGGTTCAAGGGAAGTGTTTTACCTTACACGAATTGCATGAATAGATGTGGAATAGATAGTTAAATATGTATGAGAGTTTTCGTTTGTAGGTGCCTTGGAGTAATTGTAAATGGAATGGCATGGCATAATATGGGTAAAACTTTGTGGAAATTCAACAGTGCTTATCTTATGGAGAGATACGTCCCCATCATACGAATGTAGAGTGTGCACCAATAGTTCATGGTGACAGCCATTTCTCGTTATAGTTTGAGAGCATCACTTTGTCCAGAAAGAACAGGGATTGGAACTTCTGGAAATTGCTTATACAATATCTGACGTGGCAGGACACTCAACTCCCCATTGAAAGGTTGTGAATTCAAATCCCAGTCAGGGTTTACCAAGGCCGCCAACTCGGTCTGCCATCTCTCCGGGTTGAATGAATGCGCTATCAATCGGTCTATGGGTAGCAGGGGCTAGTCTGTACAGAGACTGGCCTACATAAGAGGAACGTGCAATTTCCACCGCAGGCTCAGTGCCACTAAATTAGAATGAGTATAGCCAGCAACCACATCCATCGACTTGCATCTCCCCATTGAGTTCCTGGTACTGTGCAAACACAGCACCTGTTACTCGATCTAGAGACGGCCCACTACAGGTCGAAACACCACTTGCCACTAATGTTTCACATTTTCACGAGCACACGAAGATGCCCCCCTTGCAGCCTTTTACATGCCGTTGGGGTTAAGTGCTGTTAGCGAGCTCCTGTTAAATTCAGCAAGGCGCATGAGGATGTGGTATGGCAAGAACCACGCCCAGCCATCTTTGTCTCTCTAGCGCTCATGGTTGCATGCTGTACGAGGTGCCCGTTGAAGACTGAGTTCAACCTAGCGGAGGCCCAGCACTGGTTCAGATGGCACTCACCACAATGTGCATTTGTGCAAGGAAAACACCGAGATTCTAGATTTGAAGCTTTCGTGACTGCAAGGATTCATACTCTTTTGTTTTGTCGGTAAAGTCACGTAGGTAAAACAATCAATAAAATAAAATAAATGAAAACTAAATTAAATCAAATTAACTCTACAGTTATTTTGCTGTGCCTTTTTTTACACCTGATGAAGGAAGCTTGTGTTGCCTCCGAAACGTCGTGATTTAATTTAGTTGTTTTCATTTATTTTATTTTATTGTTTTACCTACGTGACTTTACCGAAAAAAAACAAAGAGTAAGACACCGAGATTTGCCCACGTGAATGAAGACATCCAATGAAATTACATTTAAATAAATTCAGTGGCTCTCCTAAGTGGACAAAGCAACGTGAAAACAAACAAACAAACAAAAAACCCCGGTGTGAACACAGTTACCAGTTTGAATAAAATTGCAATAAATCACAGTCGCATAACAGTGGGCATGAGTGGTTGCGCCGGGATGGCACGGCTGTCAAGCTATATCTGGGTGGAGTACACAGCTCACGGCATGCCCACCGTTGCTGTCACAAAGCATCCTCGTGCCCTTGACTTCATATCTATTATTAACTAGAGCGACTTCATATTTTTTTTTTACTATCGCACATTGCACCAGACGGTGCATCCTGTTACATAACAGGGAGGAAAATGGCAAACCTGGAGAAAACCCACGTGTTCGACGTGGCAACACCGTAAAATGATTTCCAGGCATATGAAGGGCTTAAAATACAAAACCATTTGGAATTGCATACGATAGAAAATACAACTGAATCTCAGGACACTGGCAATGAGCTACTGGCTAGTGTTGTCATATATCTGTAGAGGTGTAATTGCGCATGGCTACGTATGTTGAGGTGTGAGTATGCATGGCCACGGATGGCCAACAAACACAATGGGCGGGGTTACGGCCGTACACAAGGGTGGCGCTAGCACCGACGTCCGCATGTGTATCCCCCACGGGCCCCCCCCTCGGGGGCGAGTCCTATAAAAGGTGATGAGCTCGAGGGCTCGAGGTCGGGACTCAGCTTTAACCAGAGAAGACGGAAGACCAGCTAGTGTAGGCCCCAGAGCTCCCCTGGCTCGCTGTCCTTATAAGGGCCGACCAGGGCAAGCCGGTGGCGTGGCCCCGAGAGCCCAGACGAAGCTGGTCTGGTGACTCAGGGAGCCGGGATCCCAGCTTAACCAAGCTGGGACAGATAGCCTCCCCTAGTCCCGTAGTGGAGGAATTGGTATAGGTTAGAGGGGTTAGCTGTCGAGAATCCCTGTAGCCAAGTGACCTGTACAACTGTGTTGGTGTAATAAATAAGTGTGCCTCCGATCCTGTCGTCAAGCCTCCATATATACTTACTACATCTGGTGTCAGAAGTAAACGTCCAACGATGGACACACGAGGGACGACACGTACCAGGGAGTCGGAGATGGAAGACGCCGCGGCCGAATCTCCACCAGTGATGGCCGGGGTCGAATCGGAGCAGCCGGGGCCGAGTACGCCCGCGCCGCTACGACAGGAGGAGGGGGATGCGTCGGCCGAAGGACTCCGGCTGGCCCACTCCCGCCTGGCGGACCTGCTCTACGCCGCGGCCGCCGCGTTGGAGGAGATCACGCGGCTGGGGGCTGGAGGAGCAGCGCGGGTCGACGACGGCAGCCGGCGCGGGGCGACGTTTCCCGCCACCCCGACGCGGCTCGCGGTCAAATTTCCCGCCATCTCTACAGTACGAGCGGAGGGCGGGGCCGGCCCGCGTCACGTGTCTGCTGAGCGCCAAGCACAAGCCGTGACATCATCAACGCCGGCCGGCGCGTCAACATCAGAGCGACCGGCGATGCCATGTGCACGGCCCGCCCACACTGTATCATCGGCGGGGAGCGACGGAGAGCGTTCTGCGGCCACGGACGCCGCCTTACAACAGCGTCTGCCGCCTCTTAAAGAATTTGTCGGCGCTGACGGAGACTGGGGCGGCTTCAAGAGGCGGTTCATCGCTCATCAAGAGATGGCGAACTGGTCGGACGCCGAGGCTCTACGCGCGCTGCCAGCGATGCTGGACAACGACGCCCTGGCTACCCTCACCTCGGCGCCGAGGGAAAAGCGCGCCACTCTACACCTGGCGTTGCAGCTGCTGTCAGCCGTCTATGGGCCGCCTTCGGACTGCAGGCAGCTGTTCCACGATCGGAGTCGGGGCGCCAACGAGTCACCCCTGGCCTTCCGGACGGCTCTCCTGGCTCTGGCAAAGGCTGCTTTCCCAAGGATGGACGAGGAAGGAGTGGATGCCATGGTGGCTGAGAAGCTGCTGCTACTCGCTGACGAGCTGGACGTCAACGTCTTGGCTCAGGACGACGCGGAGATGTCGTCCCTGCTGGTCGCGCGCCACATCCACGGGGGCTTGCGGTCCCTGCGTCGGAAGGCGGCAAAGGGGGCGGCCGGCCATGCCATGGCGACCACCGCCCTCCCATCGGAGGAGGTCTGCGGGGTGGAGCGGCGAGGGGAATGGAGATCGGCGGCACCGCAGGATCGGAATGGACCGAGCCGCCAGGAGCAGCCCAGGTCATCTGGGGCGCTCACACGCTGCTACAACTGTGGCCTGCAAGGCCACGTTGCGTCTGGATGCCGGGCTCCCCGTCAGCGCGGGGCGACACCTCGTCAGGACGCCACGCCGTCTCCTCCCAAGCTCCAGCAGAGAAATACGGCGAGTCGCGGCACCTCACACGTTTGGCCCACGCACACATCCGACACACACTCACGCGCTCAACTAAACAGGGCTCCAAATTCCCCGTCCGTCGCGCGCGATTGTTCGGTAATGCGGCGAGCGCTCCAACCGGGTCAGTGGTCGGAGCTCGCCCATCGTGTCGTTGCTGCGTCGGCGGGATCATCGGTCGTGGTCGGTCACATTGATGGGGTAGAGGTGCGGATTTTAATTGACACAGGGGCATCGGCGACCATTATATCTGATTTAATTTATAACATCCTTCCCGTTCAAAGTCGTCCCTTGCTCCCTGTTGACGTGCCGTGCTATGCCGCTAACGGGGGCTCTCTGGGCATTATTGGCCAAATCCGCGCCACTATCTGCATTGGGGACATTAAATTATCCGGCCCTGTTTTGGTTTCCTCCTCACTCGCGGTTCCGTGCCTGTTGGGGACGGATTTTCTGGCCAAAATGCCCATCCGTATCCTTATTGACCAAGGGTGCATTGAGCTCCCATCGGGCCGACGCGTTACATTTCTGTCTTCCCCCACCACGGAGCGTCGGGCGTTTGCCACCGTGCAGGCGCTCGTCACAAAAACTGTGCGCGTGCCTCCGGGGGCTCAGATGCTCGTCCCTCTTAGGTTGCGTCGGCCGTTTGATGCAGGGGTTGCGGATCGGGGGGTCTTGTTGGGTCCATCTCGGGCCGGGGTCAATGGACCCGATTTGCTCGCGGCTCAGACTATGGTGAGAGGGGATGGGGACCCCTTCATTGCAGTCCTTAATGTGGGATCGCGAACGGCCGTGGTTCCTCAAGGGACCGTGCTTGCACACGCAACGCCGGTGCCCTATGAGGAACCACTCGTGGGTCAGGTATCCACCGATCCTCCGTCGCGACCGCATTCGGACTCTGATGACGGATGGCTGGATGCGCTGTGCGCGGGTTCAGTGGACCTGTCTGACTCGCAGCGCGCGCAGCTGCGAGTTCTCCTGAGCGAATTTGCTGACGTTTTTAGTCAACACAAATTTGATATTGGTTGTACAAAATTGCTGCGACACCATATTGACACGGGTGACAGCGCGCCAATCCGCCAAAATCCCTTTCGGTTGAGTCCCGCCGAAAAGGATCATGTCAAATCGGCTGTTGATGACATGCTAGCCGCCGATATCATTTCCCCTTCCACCAGCCCGTGGGGCGCGCCGATCGTTTTGGTGAAGAAACACGACGGCTCACTGAGATTTTGTGTTGACTTTCGGCGTCTCAACAAAATCTCTGTGGCAGATGCGTACCCGCTTCCTCGGATGGATGAGTCGCTCGACGCCTTGGCCGGTGCACGATTCTTTTCCACCCTTGATTTGCTATCTGGATTCTGGCAGCTTCCTCTGGATGACGAATCGAAACCTAAGACTGCTTTTCGTACACCGCAGGGCCTCTTCCAATTTAACCGTTTGCCGATGGGTTTACATTCTGCGCCGGCAACTTTTCAGCGGTTAATGGAATTGGTCTTGGCAGGTTTGCAATGGGATTCGTGTTTGATTTACTTAGACGATGTCATCGTCTTTAGCAAATCCTTCGAGGAACACCTCCAGAGGTTGCGTGCTGTTTTTCTCAAAATGCGGGCTGCCAATTTGAAATTTAAACCACAGAAGTGTCATTTACTCCGCGAATCGGTGCGATATTTGGGTCACATTGTTGGGCGCTCGGGGATATCCACTGATCCCGCCAAAACGGAATGCGTCAGCTCCTGGCCGACTCCCACCTCTGTGGGAGAGGTCAGGAGTTTCATTGGGTTCGCGTCGTATTATCGGCGATTTGTGGCTGACTTCGCTACGATTGCGAAACCATTGCATGCCTTGACGTCCAAGGGAGTCAGGTTTCATTGGGGGCCGGAGGAGGAGGCTGCTTTTCGCGCCCTCAGAAATGCTTTGGTGGGAGCTCCGCCGTTGAATTACCCGGATTTTTCACAACCCTTCTTGCTCGATACTGACGCAAGTAACACGGGCATCGGGGGTGTGCTGTCCCAGCTCATCGGGGGCGTAGAGCATGTGGTGGCTTACGGTAGTCGGGTACTGTCTCCAGCCGAACAGCGGTACTGCGTTACCCGTCGGGAATTATTGGCCATTGTTTATTTCATTCAGCAGTACCGCCCGTATCTGTACGGTCGGCGGTTCACCGTCCGTACAGATCATGCGGCCCTACAGTACGCCCTGCGGGTTCAACAACCATCGGGCCAGTTGTCTCGATGGTTGGAGATCCTCCAAGACTATGACTTTGTCACCACATATCGTAAGGGTGTCCGCCACACGAACGCTGACGCCCTGTCACGATTGCCACCCACTTCGGAGTGCGCGTGCCTGTTGGGTTCGGGGCGTTGTAGGCCCCCGAACGTCACCACCGATTCGGTCCTCGTGGCCGCTACCGATGCACCTTCGGCTTCGGGTCCTATCGAGCAAGAAGGGAGGGATTCGTTGCTGGGGTTGCCGGTCGCGGAATGGGGACGCCTCCAAATGGAGGACACCTCCCTCCTCGCTTTGCGCCGTCGCGTCGGGGGGGCTGGTCAGGGGGTGGAAAACGTTGACTCGTGGGGGTTGTTCCAGGGTCTTTTGATGCACTGGGATGGAAAAACCCGGCGCCAGCGGCTTGTGGTGCCTGCTGCTTTAAGGGGTAAGGTGGTATGGGCTGTTCATGAGCGGCTTCTGCACTTGGGGGTTCACAAGACCTTTGCCACGCTCCAGCTGGATTTCTTCTGGCCGGGCATGGAAAAGGACGTGGGGGATCTCTTGGGGTCATGCACGCAATGCGCGCAGAGGAAGCCGCCTGCGAGGGGGTCCAACCCTCCGCTGCAGTCCATAATAGTTTCCCGGGTTAACGAGCTCGTCGCTCTGGACATACTTGGGCCATTTCCCGCTACGCCCAGGGGCAATAGGTATTTACTAACGGGGGTTGAATACTTCACGAGATGGCCTATGGCCTGGCCCCTGGCGAACCAGTCGGCAGCAGCCATCGCGGAGGCCTTTGTCCAGGGCTATGTCCTCGACAAAGGTGCTCCGGAACGGCTGCTTACTGACCAGGGTAGGAATTTTTCTGGTAAACTCCTACGTGAGGTGTGCGACCTCTTGGGTACGGAGAAGGTTCGGACCTCTCCGTATCACCCACAAACTGATGGGATGGTGGAACGGCTGCATCGGACCATCACGTCCATGCTGTCCCAGCAGGTGTCGGTATCCCAGACGGATTGGGACCTCCGCATAGCCGGTGTGTTGCAGGCCTACAGAATGGCTCCTCATGCGGCCACCGGATTTTCCCCTTTCTTTTTAATGTATGGGCGCGAAGTTAACCCCCCTGTGGCGACCCAGCTGAAGCTCTCGGCGCTCCCGGCGAAGTCTAATTTGTCCGAACACATTAAATTTAACATCGCTAAATTGTCTGAGGCGCGGGAAGCGGCCGTGCAAAATTCTGAACTCCGCCAGAAGGCGAACGAGAGGCTTCGGTTGGGGCGGGTGCAGGTGGTCAAATGGGAACCAGGGGACAGGGCGTGGTTGCACTGTCCTCAGGTGCCGCTGGCAACCTCGTCGAAATTGGTACGGCCGTGGCGGGGGCCAGTGGAGGTCGTGCAGGTTTTGCGGCCGCAATGTGTTCGCGTCAAATGGGGGAGGCGCCGGTGGTATGTGCACCCCTCAAGGTTAAAACCATTTGTCGCGCCGCCCCGTGGTTCACACACACACACGCATGGCCAAACGTGTGAGGGTGTCGCCGACTCCCCGTCGTCGCTGCACTCGCCTAACCTGACGCCAACTGTTCCGTCCCCAGGTGAAACAGGAGTGACGGGTCCACACCCACCAACCCCTCCCGGAGGGGTCGGGGGTCACTCGGCAGCGACGCCTGACTCTCTTGCACCCGGACCGTCAACAACCGTCACTGAGCGTGCCAGGACGGGCCCTTGTGATGGGCCCGCCGCGCGGACGCGCGCCAAAACGCGCAGACTATTGTGAGGTCGGCCGTTGGGGGGCCTTGCGGACAATGGGAGGGGTGGCGTCCGGAGTGTGTGTATATATGTTGGTTTTGGGGTATTTATTCGGGGGGGGTGCGTCGGGTTATTTTTCTTCCTCTCTCTCTCTCTCTCTTCCTGTTGTTGTTCTTGTTAAGGTTCTCTTGTTCTTGTTAAAAATTACGCGAGGCACACACACGGGGTTTTTGTGAGGGATGCACCTTTATTCTGATTTTTTTTTTTTTGCAGCCAGGGACGGCTGCGAGCTGTACAGGGGGGGGTGATGTAGAGGTGTAATTGCGCATGGCTACGTATGTTGAGGTGTGAGTATGCATGGCCACGGATGGCCAACAAACACAATGGGCGGGGTTACGGCCGTACACAAGGGTGGCGCTAGCACCGACGTCCGCATGTGTATCCCCCACGGGCCCCCCCCTCGGGGGCGAGTCCTATAAAAGGTGATGAGCTCGAGGGCTCGAGGTCGGGACTCAGCTTTAACCAGAGAAGACGGAAGACCAGCTAGTGTAGGCCCCAGAGCTCCCCTGGCTCGCTGTCCTTATAAGGGCCGACCAGGGCAAGCCGGTGGCGTGGCCCCGAGAGCCCAGACGAAGCTGGTCTGGTGACTCAGGGAGCCGGGATCCCAGCTTAACCAAGCTGGGACAGATAGCCTCCCCTAGTCCCGTAGTGGAGGAATTGGTATAGGTTAGAGGGGTTAGCTGTCGAGAATCCCTGTAGCCAAGTGACCTGTACAACTGTGTTGGTGTAATAAATAAGTGTGCCTCCGATCCTGTCGTCAAGCCTCCATATATACTTACTACATATCCACTGACTGACCCAACGTTAGAAACTGTAAACCTAATCCTGCATTGCACTGTATTTCCATATGCACTATCCTCGTTGATGCATTCATCCAAGGTTCACATAATTTGATCCTTGCTTTTGCAATGTTCACAAATCATTTTACACACCTTTAGTCAATCCACTGCTTTTGAACGTGATGGATTTGTGGGGAGCGGTGGTGCAGTGACTCACGCATTGTACAGGATGGTCCAGATGTCTTGTGACACCCATTTAATTCTCTAAAACATAAAAAAAAACATTTATACCAATGGGCGTGAAAACAGAAATGAATAAGCAAAGGAAAAACAATTGATAGGGGCCAATTAATTGGGGGTCACACGACATCTTGACCACTCTGTACTACGAATTCCATAACATGAGTTCAATTCCAGGCCGTGTCAAATACCAGTGGTGGCTCTTTGGTGCCCCTGTCCCCCTCACGGCGACTTAAGTGAATCAGAATCTTCATATCGACTGGGGGAATCCGATGAGCTATAAAGCTCTTTTTCACAGATGTCCAGTAGAGTGTGCATATCTTAATCTGGCGCTTCGGAGGCCAGAGGTGGTGCATCGTCACAGGATAAGGGTTGGTGTGGGATTAGCAGATTTGGGGTCACATCATCTATTTTCTTTATCTTCATTAGCTTCATAAATCATCATAATTGGCTTTAATTCACTATATTAATTTATCATAATTGTAACCACTATCATCATTAAGCTCATAATCAAAAACGATTACTTGTATCTATTATCACCAGCATCAGCATCGTCATTGTTGGTTTTATGTGGCGTTAAGACATCTTTTTGACTTCTGGTTAAAAATACGCACTTTTGGCGAATGGTAGAAAACAATTGCACACACATCCTTCTGTTTGGTTTGTTGTCCTTCCCCCGCACCTACGATTGGCCACGTACGATGCGAAATAGGTTCTACATACATACACACATTTGCCTGTGTGTGTTCGCGTGTGAAAATAACGGAGCCTGATTGGTCAGCCTGGGCGGTCACGCAGGACTACCATCGTGACAGCAGCCACTCCCCTAGCCGCTGATTGGCTATAGAAGACGCCGCTCCACCCATTCCACTCAGTGGAATTTTAGCCTAAAACTGCAACAGGAATTTGGTGCAATTTAATTTTGCGGAATATCAGCAAAAACACGAAACCAAACGCAACATGATTCGGGCCCCATGTCCCTTTCAACAGAGAGATATGACAACAAGTATCAAGTGCATGCATATCGGGTAATTATACGCTTTGCAAGACAATTATAAGAAGCGCACAATTGTATCACTGTGTAATTAATTGGTAATTACTAATTGATGGCTGTGCGGCTCAGGGAACTGATGCTTAATCTACATTCATGCACTGAGCAAGCCTCGTTATGGCCCTGGATTGAAATATAATTTTCCCTTCCAAGATTAAACCAAAATGATCACGTTAACTGAGTTTGATGTTATCATGGCAGTCATAAATGCTTGCGTGAATACAATCACCCTTAACATCTGAAATGGTCCTGTACTCTCCCCCCCATCAACCCACACTGACCAGTAGGGTGAAGTATGGTCAAACAATCCTCATGGCCAGCTCGGTGTAGGGAGGTCTTCATTCAATAGTGGAATGATGAGGGGCTGTAAATCATTTTATCAATTGCAAACGCAAACAAAGTTACCAGTTTACATTTCTTTAAAACAACACCAAATATCTGATTAAATATACTTCCCCCCCCCCCTAAAACTTACATCAATCCGTAATCAGAGATGAATTACCTTTCAAAATTAACCCTCTCCACCCAGTACATATTTGTAAAGTCAGAGAGATGGACAGGAGCGACATCATGCACGATTATTTAATACAATTAAAATATACGTCCGATGCACAGATACATTTAAAGCGACTGGCAAAATCTGAGAGACCAATGGCAAGACCTTGGCTGCAGTATGGAATTGAGAACACTGAGTGTGTCATGGGACATCAGACCACGCACCTCAAACATTTCTCAGAGCTTTGACAGCGGAGTGCTATTCCCTCCGCTGCGGTAAGACCACGGTGCACCCAGGAGGCTCCTCCAAGTCACGGTAATAGGTGGCCTCGTTAAGAAGCAGAGTGGAGTGGGTGCCAACATGAGACCTCATTCATATTCAGGGGGCATAAGTGACGGACAGCCACGGTGCTAGGATGAAGCCCTGGGACACTTGACAAAAGCTTTGTGGAGAGACTGGTTAATCAAACCAAGCAGTTGCTTTGTCCTCCGTCGCTTTCATTCCTGTCGTTTGTCCCAATTGTTCTGCCAGTGTTCATTATCGAGTGAAAATTTCATGTCATTACCTGAACCCCCTGCAGATAGCTGAGCAACAAACTGGGAAAGGGAGCAGCTCCATGTGAGATGCCACTAGTCTATTGCAACATTCAATCAAGCCCAGTGCGATGCACCCTTTTGTATTAGGTCCAAGTAAGATTATTCCACCGTCAAGGAGCTATGAGCGGTTGATTCAACTGCAATTATCAGAGTGTAATGGCACTCCAGGGAAAGTGGTGCTGAGATTAGTCACGTTCAAGTAAATGTTGTTTAATCGGATGAGAACTCTATAGAGGCCAGGATGAGTGTAGTTTGCAATAGTGACCTGTTTGACATACCTAAAATACACAGAGGTAGACTCACAATTGAAGGTTGCGAGTTCTTACAAATCCCAGTGGTGGGTGAACTCTGCCTGTCATTCCTCGTGAGTTAATGAAACGGAGAACCGCTCTGTGGTTTACCACACAGGCCCTGGCTCAGTGCCCCTAACAGAGAGGAGCACTGCAGCCACTCTCATTTGAGCAGCGGAGGCATTCAGACGATACGTCTCCCTCAGTAATCTGTCTCCACATAAAAACAAATATTAACAAACATTTCTCACACAACCCACACAGCGCCTCAGGGAGCATACAACGCCAGCAAGCGTTGTTTTTCAAGGCCTCGACACACAGTGCCTTAGAAGCAGAGCCAGGCCTGCCCAAGTCAACGCCGCCATTGAACTGCCGATGCCAAAGCCGAGGACCTCATCCCCATGCCACGGGGTCGTCGCTCGACGCAAAGTAACAGAATGCGTGACTCAACATGATCATTAGCATCGTGGAGAATATCAATAACAACATAAACAGGCAGACGATTTGCCTCCCTCACATATAATCCATCTCCACATCGAAAAATATTAATATTTCTCACACAATCCATCGGCCGTTTGTAAAAATGGCAGCAACTTCGTTGTATATAAGCGCACTGCAAGTAGGCAATAGAACCACGGAATTCGAGAACATCGTAAGTAAGGGGCGAGTTTTCTGCGAGCGCATTGATGTCTTGGCATACAATATACTCGATGGGAAACTGAACCACAGCTGTCAACCCATACGGTGTTGCCGTATTCTTGTCCAGGGAAATTGAGTTTTCAGGTCCATACGGCGTACAGTCGTTTCAATACTGGCAAAATAATGTTTTGTCTTTTTTTGTGTTTCTCCCTCGTGATGGGACTTTGTAGGATGAACGTTGAGATGTATAAGGGGCACGGGGTGACCAATATGGTCTGAATTGGTCTGTAACAAGGTAGGGCACTGATAAGGGGTTGACAGGCATGCTGGACCCTCCTGATAAGGAGTCTCGAAGGGAGACATTTGAATGGTTTCTAATTTAGCTCACATTTTGAAATTCAAATTAGTAAACGTATGTCACGCTGTGTCCTACGGGCACCAGCGACTACTTCACTGCATGCCATTGCAGGTGACCAAACCAGCAGCAAGAGCCTGGAAAGTGACTGAATGCCAACAGCAAGTCTCCTGCTTTGCAATTGCTTATTGTTAGCACAGACCTTTGACTCGTTCACGAAATGTTACGAACTCGTAAGTATGTATTTTTTAATTCAGGAGGGTTCTTGAGCCTGAGCTGTTATTTGATGGAAGATAGTGCTTTTACAACGCCAAGTGACATCCCATTGCGACGCTAATAGTGTGTTTAATAGCGTCTTTAAGCGGGTAGCGCATTGCGCTACGAACTCGGTGACCCAAGATCGATTCCCGCTCGTCACCAATAACAATGGTGAATATGTGAACTGGTCGTGTGCTTCCCCTAAGTCAACTCAGACTGAAATTAGTACCTGGTGTGGTGTGTAAACATCAGCATTGGGGAGACAAAGGCTCCAACAGTCTGCTAAAAGCCACATGGGGGATCATTGTCCTGCTTAAAGGTGTCCAGAGCATGGGGTGGTGCTTGGCTGCATTAGTGGCCTTGAGCCAGTGGTGGAAATTCTCCCTTCCTATGGCGGGGGCCAGTTTGAGCATGTAACAACGGCTACTGACGTCCTGCAAAGTGCTCATGGGTTTGTTGACCCCCCCCCCCCCCCCCCCCAGAGGGATGTTAGGCTGAGTTGATCCACAGGCAATATTTTAACTCACAACCATCTGAATGTCAGTCGTGTGGTCTATTCACAACAACACCCAACCGAATTCTGGAAAGTTCATGAAAATTATCCACCAGTAGCTTCTGTTGCAGTGGACACAACCTGCTGCTAAGACTCGGTGAAGTCAAAACCAGTTCAGGATTTTCCTCATTTAAACAAATATGATCAGGATACATTGTTTCTGAAATCCCACTACCTGTCAATAGGGTGGATGTTTAATCACATTTTGGTGATTCAATTAGCGTCCTTCCTCTATATTCCAAATAAGGATTCGACTTGCACTGACAAGTGAACTGCATCCATGCCAATGACCTGGGAAATAACAAATACTTAAATTCGATACAGCGCTGGGATGGTTATTGGCTGCTGCCAGTCAATATCTCATTTTGTGTGGTGGCGTGTTGTCATGAATGTTTAATTTATTGTCAAGACACGGACGTACGCCACTACTCTGAGCTGCAAAGGCATGAATCTCAAGCGACAAAGCCCAATGGCGACATGGCAAAGACAGCTGCGCAGCCTCGCAGTCGGCACGACGCTCACCACTGGGCCACCTTATGAAGCGTCAAAGGTTCAATCCCTGCCACAGCCACTGGGTAATTTCACCAGACAGATGGTTTTGCTGTCGAGTGAATACGGTTGTCAATATCGTGTGACGTATTTTCTAGAGTATTGTAGCTCAGGTCTCATTTGAAAATGTTCTGCAACTTAATTATAAATAACAATTCATATTTCATCTGGCCAGATAGTACTGTAAGTGATTATAGTGAGTGGCTCACAAGATGCATGTCCTTGATACCTCTGGAGTCAATATAATGATTATCGCTATGTGGGACATTAACGATGGTTGTGATACAGATAGACTGGCTCCCATCAGAAACACGTACAATTTTCCACCACTGGTTCATTGCTGCCAAGGAAAAATGGGGACCATCCCATGCTCTTTTGAGCAGGCAGACGATACTTTGAAACACATTTTTTTTTTTAAATATGTGATTCAGTTTGAATGTGTATAGCGTCTAGATACGACTGCAGCTATGGATGCTGCACAAGCAACAGAGGGCATATTTATTGTATATTTATTACTGTTTTGTCACAATGGGTAATCGACTGCTAAAACGAAAGCACTATCAGGGCCGTCAAGAGGAGATGAACGTTGTCTGACACTACCGCACAATGGCATTCTCTTGAAAAAACACGCAACAGGGTTTTTAATGTTCACTTTGCCTCAAACAATCTGCGAGAAACAAGAAGCCACTTTTCGTTTTTTGTACGTCTATTTAAGCAGTCATTTGTGTGTAATTAAAAGTATTTACGATGTGCATGTGTGTATGTCTGGACATTTCTCTTCCTACAGAAATAAACCAATCCAAATGTAGCCCCACCGGAACAAGTATTGTATGACCCTATAAAACTTATAGGGCAATGACATTACTGGTTGAAACTTAGACCTCAGAGGGACATTTTGGTGGTAAAACATTAAGTTAAAGCACTGTCAAAGAGTTAAATAAAGCCCTTTGCGGCTGCAGTATTGCAATTTTAAGTAAATCTGTGGCCTAATGTTTCTCATTCAGAACCTCCTTGGTTTTTTTTATAGCTGACTTTCAAATTTGACATGGGCCACATTTCGAGGAACTGCCATAATTGTATCATAATTATAATGTGATGATTGGCTCAGCCAATCATTTTCTCGGGGACAAAGTCATGAGTAGCAGTCTCACTGAAGTTCATCGGCAGTTGACATTTTGATTTACTTTAGATAGACTTGCCCCTGACACGGAAATGCGGAATTTCTATCTCTGGCTAGAGAGTCGCCAATGGAGACGAGACCGGCCTCGCGCCCACGTTTCAGCACGGATGCATTGTGTCGACTCGAATTTGAACGAGCCGTGTGTATTGCCAACGAAAAGAAAGATGTAGTTGGGGGTTTTGATCTTATTTCTGTTTCGTGAAAAAAAAAATTTGTTTAACATCATAAAATTTCCCAGTAGAATATTCGCGTTTAGTTTTGTTTTTATCTTTCAAAACAAGTTTCGAGGAGCTTCCCTGTGCCGTAGCTGTGGTTGTGCATACTAACTGAATGAATTACTGCGCGCAAATGGTTAACACGCACAATTCGTTTAAGTCCGAGGTGGTTCAGAGTGAGAGGATCGTGTCAGAGCGAATTGAGGCAGCCTCCCTTCAGGGCCGAGGTTTGGATGCAAGGTTACTGACCACGATTAAATCAGTTTCTCAAAAAAACAAGCTACTGGTCTCGTCATATTACCGTGATAAAAAAAACATCACCACGTAAATTTTAGTTTCTTGTGTAATTTGGCATATTCCCGCTCCGAATGTTAAAATTTCTAAACGTTTTATAATTAAGTACGATGTAATCCTCTGTAGAACCATTAGTACTCCTGGCCTAAAATCGAGGAGACACAGAGATCCATCATTGCTTTTTTGTGCCACGTTCACAGCGTTAGCATTTGTAATTTTAAATCCTATTAAGACATATAAGCATATGGCGAAGTCAAAGTCAATATGAATCCCTGATCAAACAAGCAATGGAGGGGGGCACATTTACATGAGCGGGCCCTTTAGTCTATGTGTCAATTCCACATTCCCGTGCCAGGAGCCTGTACGAATCGGACAAACTGGCAGGCTTTTTGTGAACCTCAAAAGCGCAGTGAGCAACGTCAAATACCTTGATTTTAAACTCGCAAACCTTTCCGATTGTGAGTCGAGTCCTCTGACCTCACTGCCACTCGATCAGATATGTAGATACATTATTTGACACGTGAGATACATTATTTGGTGATGATGCTGCTGCTGCGTTGGCAGCAGTGCACAATCACGATCGGCAACAACATCATCAACAAACCTCAACTCACTCGTCGCTAACGCAGCCTTAAAAAAAATAGAAATGCGTTCGTGACCTGTTTTTTTGCAATCAGTCGTCGTTTGCCGTATTATTGCTTATGAAGTGTATGCAACGAGTTTAACCATTCAAACTGTTGTGCTTGCCAGGCACCAAAACCAAAGAAGGTGTTGTGAACAGCGTTAACACAGGTACGTGCTCACTACGTGTCCCTCGCCACTTTAACAGTGGAGCCGTCGCATGAATGTTAATTGCAAAATGTGTTCTCTTAAGCGTTTCGGATTACATTAGCTGGATTATACGGCATCCTGTCCTGAACAAAACATGCTAAATTAACCACGAGGAGAATAACACGACGCGTTCATTATTTAAACACTTTGTGCACATTTGATGAAGCGGCGATGCACAAGGCAGGATGATTGCATGCTTAGTCATGAGCCACCAGGTCAAGGTGTTTGTGCATTTTTTATAATTTAAGAATTTGTTTTTGTCTTCCATTACCGGAAGTTTGTCCAACCGTAATATGGGTTAAGCTGCACGAAGTTGATTACTGTGTCACCCGTTGTGAGAGCAGATTGAGAGTTCACCCCCTGCCCCTTACAAATGTTCCGGCCAGCATCAACGCATTGACTTATCAATCCTCGAAACGGACTCCCTCGTTCTGCATTGGAATTATTATGAAATACGGCTGATGGACCGCACCGTGATTGCAGCGGCGATCTCGCTGTCGTAAAAGCTGTGAATTCACGTCCCGGCACGAAGTCAACCTGCCCATCGTCCCTCCGGCCTGCACTATTGTTGTTGTCTCATGACGGGTCTTTGTCATTTACAGATTCGATTATCCCTCTGGGGGGGGGGGTCGATGAAACGAACCTCAGTTAATTGTTCCCCTTCCCCAAACCTCCCACGCTCTCGCTCCACATCCTCGCGTGCAGTGGCCGAGAAGACCAAGGAGTCGGCGCAGGCTGTGAGCGGTGCGGTCGTGAGCGGCGTCAACACGGTGGCAGGCAAGACGGTGGAAGGAGCCGAGAATGTCGCCGCAGCTGCAGGCATCCCCGTGGAACCGGTACGCACGCACGCCGCGACGCCAACAGCAAACCGTGAGGCTGACTTACGTTAGACCATCTAGCACCACAGTGCGCTAGGTCAGTTGCACAGGAAACGCGGAACGTTGGGGGCAATTTTGGGCGAGCGGTTCCAACTGCATGCCAACGTTGGCCCGACGTTACATGGAGGTATGGCCACCATCCGCTGAACATTCCTATCACATCGTGAAATGTACAGCTCACTCAGTCTATAAGCCACTGCCAGCATTAAAGCCCAGCTTGTGAAGCCCACAGTCTTTCCTTACATAACCTAAGAGCCACTTATGAAATTGAGTGCCTCATACACTGACCAAAGGGTTGACTGTTCAGTATAAGTGTTCAGCCACAGGGCTTTTATGTTCAACCTGAGTGCCTTTCATTTGGTCTGAAGTGATGGCTTGGAGGAGCTCTTTTGAATTGAGATTTGCTGGTCCCCAGAGGACACAAGTCCCATCTGACATATTAGATGCTCCATGTTTGCAGCCCCATTAACACGCATAATCAACACGCGACTTGGCCACGGCCTTCAGTATCATCTGGAGGAAGTGAAAATTGGAATGTGCCCACGGCGTTAATGATGTGTTACCGCTTTGTTTAACTTCTCAGTCAGCGCGCGCGCGCGCCGTGAATTGCGCGTCAAAGCCAATTTACACTCTGCGCATAAAATTAGTTTTATGGGCGAGCAAAGCAAACGCGAAGATGTAATGTGCCTGTCCCTCGGTTTCGAGGCTCGCATTTCAAGATTCAGCATCAACATTCGGAAACCCTCACGCGCTGGATTAAAGCGCAAAAAAACCACTGTACCAAGAGACCGGTTTGAGATCGCAGCGTGGGCACGCGAAACGTGATTTGAAGCGCCACTCTCGACTTATATTCGCTGTCCCGGCGAGCCCGCTGGGAGTGAAGCGCCGCAAAGACTGTCAGCATACTTGAAGCGTCCGTACGAAATGAGTTACGTTTTTGCAGCTCGACGGTCAAAATCGTAGACGGAACAATGGACTTGACCGAGTGCAAGCCATGCATGTCGGCAACAGCATCGCACTGGTGTGGCTGTGACCTCGCGGTCACGACGTAAGAGTTGGGTGGGGGGATCGCCCGGGTTTTGTACAACTCCAAAACCTGTTGGGCTGCAAGGTTGCCGCGAGATGGGTAGTTACAGCAAGTTGCTTGTTGAATCCTTGTTCCTCGAGTCTCATCACATTGTATGCCGGCACTTTATTCAGGTTTCTCTGCTTTCCTCCCATGAGCCATAACATTCGGTAAATGGAATTGGCCAAACATCCGAATGGATGACACTCCGATAAACAATATAGTCGTGAGATTCGCTGAGGCATCTTTGTAAATGACGGATATTTAAGTATTCTTATTATATGCTAACTGCCACGTTAATGCACGTGACTTAACAACACATTTTTTAAATGGGTGTCATGAATAGTCACACAATCGTGTGCACAAAATTACCGACGAATGGATGGAGGGTAGGATGGGCAGCACGATATTTGGCATAATTTCATGAAGTTTTACTTAATGCCATTGATGTATTTTTTTAAAACAAGTTATCGATGTAATGTCGTTGGTTTTATGTAAGAATTCATGTCGCACTTTGATATCATCGTTTTACAAACAAATGTTTTAACTGTTGAGATATTTTACTCCACAGCAGCGCTCCGCGGTTCATTTCGACAGAACCCATCAAGTTAAGGTTGCCTTAAGTTTTCCAGGGCTTCAATTAATTTCTGTTAGTCTTTAAAACCCCCTTTCTTTTCATCTTAGACTGAGCCAGGGGCAGAGCCAGGAGCGGAGCCAGGTGAACAGGAGGTTGAGCCACCTGCCCAGCAGGGGGAGCATCAGGTACGTGGAAACAATCCTCCTGTCATGTACAATGAGATGATTAATAGTTAAAGCATCAACACAGGGACTCCACTACTAACGGACGAGTTAGGTTCCAGAGGTCTGTTCGTAAGTCCAACGCTACTCCTGTCGATTTCAAACATGTTGTACGGCATGTACACTAAACACGGGGAATGGCTTTAAAAGTTGGATAATATCCTGTAGATGTAGACGCCACCGGTTCTTTATGTTCTGCAAATGTAGATGCCACCGCCGCCATCTATTGCACGGCGGTTGAAACTTACGACTCTCGGTCCGAACAGGCAACTGGACATACGGACAGGTTTGTTCGTATCTCTGAAAGTTTGTAAGTCGAATGTTCGTAAGTTAGAGGAGTCTCTGAAGTTGGCACAACGTCTTATAAGAACTTTAACTCGACCTGGAACATTATTTTAGAGGCCTTGTCCTCCCGCTCCTTTCCTTGTCCCACACAGTAAACATGCAAAACATTGGTTCAACGTTAACCAACGTTTTGCCCAACGTTTCCATGTTTAATGGTAAGTCACTATTCAGAACTCAAGTGTTCTTGCAGGCGTATGCTTTTATACTCTTTCTACATTAAAAACTGAAAAATTCCCAGTGCATAAAGCCATCCATTGAGAGATGGTGGCGGTTTAGGGAGACCTTTATCCTACAATGGACTGATCACAGCTGATGCTGATGATGAAGTCCATTTATGGGTGTGCTGTGGTTATAGACACTACTCTATATTTACCTTAATGACACACACGAATACAAGAATAGGTTAGCCGTGACTCACATCACTGGTGAGTGGCATCTGAACCAATGCTGGTCCAGCCTTGTCCAACCCGCACGAACCAACATGGTTAAGTATGGTCAAACAATCCCAGTTGACTAGCATTTGTGTGTGGAGGCCTTAATCCAATCGTGGAATGACAAATGACTGCACATGTATCGCGACCAATATTATCCATAAGAGGTTTTGTGGGTTGCATTGCGTAAATACAGAAGTGCGTAACACTTCTGATAATTTGCAACAATACCACAAGCAATGTGCCTCCGGGCTCTGGAGACCACCTGGAGAAGATTCCAGGACACGTGTGTTGACAATGACTGGCGAACAAGTGGAGTACTCTTTGACTTTCTGAAGCTATTAACATAAATTTTTTTATCATGTTACAGTCTAGTATCCGTTCCTTTTCCGCTAAAAACGACAGTCCCATATGAGTGTTAACAGTTTTTTTAAAGCACCCTGTATAAATGTGTCGTTAAACCCGCCACCACCCGACACAGCCAATTAGAAAGGTTTGTCACGTAAACAGAACGTGCCAATTCGTTATGATTACAGCACACCAGTGTGTTGGAAAGTAAACCCACACTGGCATCAAGCTAGTTGTAATTACTTGCGAAACGTCATACTCGAATTGCAAATGTTGTGGGTTTACTCTCCAACACAACCGGTGTGCTGTACTAGCAACGAATTGGCATGTTCTGTTTACGTGACAAACCTTACTAATTGGCTGCGTGGGGTGGTGGTGGGTTTAACAACATTCATAATTACGCTATCTAACCCAAAACAACATCTATTATGCATATGTATTGTTCGAACTAATTATAAATGACTAAATCCAATAACAGTGCTCCACTTCACAACATACGCGTTCCAAAGGACTCAACACACTCGTTATCAACACCGTGACCTTAAAAGAAGAAAATATATATCCATAATCGGCGACGTTTTGGGCAATGGCGCTTCTTCGTAGCACAAAAAACCCATGCAGATGGGACATTGCCCGTTAACGTGGCGGATTGCATACTTTTGTTATTTGAAGGCAGCGTTGGTGACGAGAAGCACGGAGTTCTTTGTTGACTGTGCTTGTGCTCCACTGCCAACGCGGCCTCGCCAAATAATTTGTTTAATACCGGTGTTTCCAACCTTCTCTTGCAACCTTTCGGGCCTTAACTGCGTCACTCTGGTGCCTCACTGTTTGCTAGGATCAACGGTTTTTCATCACGACCATCTCTCAATGGCTCTGGCTATCAGCAATGCAACGATTGTTGATAGTCAAAGCCCGCATTAGCAGCTTTTCGACTCAACTAGCCTCAGACAGGCCAGTGTGTTTTGTTGAGCTTTAAGGGTTTGGGTTAGAATAGTTTGTGGGTTATGGGCAGGGCAGGTGCTCGTTCTTTTATCGTCTCTGGAAACGTTGGGGATCGGGGTGGAAGGGCGGCTATGGAGGGAGATGGCTCATACATATGTCGTATGTTGAACTTCTTTTGCGCACCGTACGTAGTCAACCGCGACAATCGGAGGTGCAGGGGAAGGACAGCAAACTAAACACAAAAATCAGTTCTAAAGATATTAGTTTTCAATCTAGATTGAAAAATGCATAGCTCCAGTGGCTTTCTAATATCGGAAGGAAGAGCGTTCCAGACGGCCACAGAAGCTCATCTAAAAGCACGCGATGCGGTGACGTTCTTTGTTCTACGGTTAACCAAAAGCCGCTGCTGTGAGGATAACCGGAGTTTGCATGATGGGGTTAACGCTCCTTTACTAGATCAGCAAGGTATTGTGGTTCATTTGTGGCAAGCACTTTGTGTGTAATGAGCGCGACCTCATAAGGGGCCGTCCATAAATGACGTCACGCACCTAGGGGGGGGGAGAGGTCAGACATTTGTGACGATGTGTGACGGGGGGGGGGGGGGTGTGAGAAATGTGACGTCACATCAAAATGCGCAACTTTAAATAAATATAGACAACACGTTCTACTTAATGAAATAGACTTTTTGATAAATGTTTTCTCATACAACATCAGAGTGCAGCGCCACATTAAATACGCACTACAATGACAATAGTTTAAAGCGATTTGAAGCATGTTTTATTTTGGGGGGGGGGGCAGAGCTTTGTGACGTCATATTTTAGGGAGGGGTCTGACTTTTTGTGACGCCGTGTGACTAATGGGGGGGGGGGGGGGGGGGTCAAAAATCGTCCAAAATCGCGTGACGTCATTTATGGACGGCCCCTAATGTGTTCGTTTGGCAACCAGAAGTCAATGCAAATTGGTGAGCACCAGACGGACACGGTCAGATTTTGCAATACCCATCACGACACGTGGTGACGATGATAATACGAACGAGAATTACGGTCTTCTTTACGTGGTTTAAATCGCTCAAAGTAAAATGTAAGCTTGTTAAAATAATTGTATACAACTGTGCTTTGCTTTATATTCACAGGCGGACATGATGTGAGAGGCCGCAGAAGATCGAAAATGATAAAATAACAAATAACCGACATGGGTAGGGGAGGGGTCTGGGGAAGATGGCCGTGCTCGGTCCGTCATTTTAAAACTGGAAACAAATATATTATTGGCGGTACATTATTTAAATAAACTAGAGTAAACTATAATATTAGATGTTTTAATTAAGCAAAAATGTATAGACCTCATTAGTGCAACACGATGGCATTACCTGCTTTCTGTAGCAATAGGCAAATAGCGAGGCGTGTAAATGTGGCACACTGGCAGCTAGGTGAGGTTTAAAATGCATCGCGCACAACGCAGACACGGCCACGCGTATATACTCACACATACACACACAATACCGTATGTAGGCTACACGCACATGCATGCAAATCCACACAAACTAGGCATGCAGTGAGTGTAAAAAAAACAATCCTTTCCCAGTTGCTATTATTAGACTTTCATTCGCTTTGTTGGGCATCTTAACGGAAGTGACACACCGATGAAACCCATCCGTCTGGACTCATTCGGACGTTCTCCCACGCGTGCCCGGAATTCTAATGCATGCAGGGACCAGGTTGCGTCGGTGACACCGCGCTTGTCGGAGAGCGAGAGACAGAACGTGTGTCCCGTGTTGCTGAGAGGTCTCTTCCAATCAGCAACTCCAAACGTCTTGCCCAACGTTAATGCATGAGTAGTTATGAGACAATTGCGCGGAGCGAATTGCAGCCGTGATTTGTATTTGGCCCCTGTGTAATGGTACTGAATGCATACTTTGGTCATGCACTTGCATACACAGATGTATTTTTATTATTATTATTATTTTAGAGTTTATATTTTTCAATGCGTAAATGTGTAGCCCAGATTACCAGGAATCAGATTTTACACTCCAGTGTTTATTTATGTACGTGTTTGAAACCAGGTGATAAATAGGTGATATGTGATAGCATGGATATTCCAGTCATTCGCGAACGATTAAAATGGCATGCATGAAACCGTGGATAATATGGAATGCATGACAGATTCCTCCAATCAAACTGGAGCAATGCAGACAACCGGATGAATGTCTCACTTCGGCAATGATGAGGAAACAAGACTTTCTGTGGATGTTAAAACAGGCCTGCATTGAGCAACCGACGCCACGTTGTGGTTTTGGCCAGTGGCTTTTAGGGTCATGTAGCCAGAGTGATTTTGTCAATTGTATGTTCAAAGCATGTTTATGGACCACATCGATCGCTATGGAAGAAAGGTTAACTTTAGTGTAATGAGATGGGTGTTTGAGGTAGTAGTAGTAATCTGTACGTACGTGACCGTGTGGATCAGGTGAGTTTTACTTCCAACGAAGCATCTTTATCAAACAAGCATCTGGTCTCAAAATGCATGCTTGCTGATAATTCTCGGGATTTCGCGGCAGGATATTGCGAGAAGCGTTCGAACGTTGCCTAGAGCACGACTGCAGCGTGCTGCACGTATCATCAGGTGGTTGCAAAGAGCGGGGCACGTGTGCGGGATGGAGGAGGGCATGTAGTTTACCGATGCAGGTGACCGGGGTGCAGACCTAAAGCCAGACGGTGCTGATGAGACCCGTGAGAGAAGCCACCGGACGATTGGTTTATTGGCTAAGCATTCAAAGATGGAATAAATACAGTGACTAATAGAGGCGACGATGAGGTGAGAGGGCATCAGCGGCATGTGTACAATTCGAGACGTGTATACGCATGTTACGGGAAGCAGGTGAGAGCATGGTTGAGGAATTGTGTGCCGTGTAGAAGTGCGGATGTAAAGGTGCGGGATATAAAATCTGTCCAAACAAATGTGCAAAAAAAAACCCCATCGTAAAAAGTGCAGATTCCAGTGAAAGACGAATAATGGTTCACACGTTTGCCATCTGAGAAAATAACTCGACGTAGTGGGCCGCAGGGACAGTACAAAAAAAATCAATTGTTGTACCGTACTTATATGCTACCGCGTCTGTGACTCCCTTTCACCTACCTGCACTGAGCAGCGTGAAGTGTGGTCAGATGGAGCCCCGTGACATGTACAGTAGTACGTGTAGAGGCCGTCATCCAGCAGTGGATTGACACAGGTCTGTACTTGTGGTGGGACCAATCTTTCCACTGAAAGATGACTCTTGTGTCCACCAAAGAGCTACTCATTTTATGCACCCTGGAGGGAGAATGAGCTGGATCCACCCCATAACGGGATTTGAACAGGTTCTAGAGAGGCATAACATAAATGAGTTACTTCAAAATATAAAACAGAATGATGAAAATTAAGCCATGCAATTAGTTACATTAAAACCATGTCCAAACAATTGGATATTATCGTAAACTTATATTCGCTGATAATCCAATCCATGATTTAAAGTCGTACGCAGAACTTGTTTTTATTAAACAAAAATCAATCTAGCAGATGCTAAGCTTACCTCATTACCGAGGAATCGTGCTGAAATTAATCTCAAACCAAATTTTGTATTTTGGCAAAGGAGTTTGGGTCACAACCGAAGCTGCAGGGGGGCGGGTTTATTGTTAACCAATAGGCGTCGTCGCGAGTGAAACAACAACATGGCCGAAACTCTTGACTTTGGTAACTCTTGCAGTGAGACTCATCCTGGCCTCTTGTTGTATCTCACCTGGCTAAACAAAATGGCCTTGAGATTTCCCTTCATAGCTTTGCGTCGCCACTTACTCTCTGTACTGTGTTTTATTCAGCGTTTAATGTTTATACAGCAGGTGGATGTATATGTATCGCCAGTGGTCGGAATTCACACACTTCGAGCCAGAGTACAGGTGGAGTCACAGTTTCACTCACTCCTGCATCTCCTTCACGGTGATTTCTAGCAGAAAATTACAAAAGCGTGCAATCACCTTTTAATGCAAACGTTAAAAAGAACCAGAGAAACCCGTCATTTTGCCAGAGCGCGCGTTCGTGAGCTGGTGCCTTTTCCAAATTCACAAACTTAAAAAAAAAACTCACGTCCAATTGTTAAACCATAATGACAACTCGTCCTGGGTACCCCTCCCACGTCTCGACCGTTTGCGAAAGAGGATGAATCTCGGTGGGCCTCAGCCTTTCTAAATATAGGACGCTGAATTCGAGTGTGAAAACACTAGCATGTCGTGTTGTGTGCAATTTAATTGACTAAAAGCTTTTGTTACAAAAAATTAATTTCGAAACGTTTTTTCATATAATATGAAAAAATACTTTTTTACTAAATAGTGGTGAATGGGTTTAAGGATTACAGTATTTGAACAATGCATTACATATTTGTGCATGGTAGTGTGTGTGTTCTTTGTTATCCCATACTGACGGGTAGAATTTAGAGCTAATGCACTGCAGCAAATGCTCGTTTTTGCCAGCTCCGGAAATGAATGAAAGGACAAACTCTGCGGCTCATGATTGTGTTGCCAATGACCAGATGCATGCATTGCACGTGCACAGTTACCAAAATGAATGGGCGACTGAGCACAATCAAGGTAGCAAGCACATCGTGCCCCTGGTGTCATTCAGAATAGTATATGGAGCGTGTTAGTGAATAAATAGGTGCATGGACATACCAAGGCAAGAATAGTTCCCCGTTTAGTTGTGTAGAGCGTTGGGGAAAATGTTTTTTTAGTGAGCATCTTCAGTGTTAAGGCATGCTAAGGACTGTGGTTTGGCAAGCACGACCAACTCCCGTTCGTTTTTGTCCCCCCCCCCCCCACCCTTGCTGATGTTGACACATTGCACCAGGAAATACATTGTCTTGTGAGTCCACCTGTGGGATTGTCAGGCCAGGACCCATTTGTGTGTCATGGCCAAGAGTCTAACCTCTGGGTCGCAGTGATCAAAGCATAGCCAATCTTAGCGTCTACGCCACGGTTCCGCACAGGTGTATGAACACACGGACCCGCACACCCTCACACACACGGGCACACTCTGCATTAAACAACAATTATAATTGTCCGTGGCACTGAGAGATAACTCCGTAATTACATCTCTAAAGTATTAAAATGCGCAAATTATATTTACGAACACAAACTGACAGCAGGCCACTCTCATCAGGGCATAGTTTTTAGTTATTTCCGTAATAATATTCGAACATAAATTAAACCATTACCGTCGAACAGATGGGCCTGTAATCGACAAAGCAATGATGGCTTCAAGCTGATTACGACATTTGCATTTGGCACTTTCTCAAATATCCCATCACGTCCCAACAAAATTGGCTTTGCCCTAGAACCTAATCTTAGCTGCCACCGTGACATCGTTTGAGCCTGTGCTTTGGACGCGGGTGTTACGTATTCAGTGTGCAACCAACGTGTTCAATTGTGAGATGCCAAGCAACTGAATACGTTCACTCTCTCTTAAAACAAAACATTTGCCATTTAGTGGAATAAAGAAGGTCTCATGGAAGTTCCGGTGGCTTGTGTGATTCATTGTGCTCTGTTTCCCGTGACGTGACGTGCGACGTGTATTTTTTTAACACTTCGCGTGATATAAATTGGCGCCCGCTCGCACGTGTCGGTTGCTCCGGTTTCCTCTCACATGTAAACGCTAATTGATTCATAATTAAAGGTTTTTGGGTTAGATCGCGTTATTTATAAATGTGTCGTAACCCTCCACCACCCGACATGGCCAAACAGTAAAAAATGTGTCACGTTTACAAAGGACGAATAGTTCAATACTTTAGCCCACCGGTGTGGCAAATTGCCCGATGATGCTGGATGTAATTACCAGCGAAACGTCGTACTCAAAATTTTAAATGATGTTGATTCACTCTTCAACACACCGGTGGGCTAAAGTAGTGAAGTAGTGAACTATTAGTCCTTTGTAAACATTTTTTACTGTTTGGCCGTGTCGGGTGGTGGAGGGTTACGACACATTTATATATAACGCGATCTAACCCAAAAACCTTTATTATGAATCATATTGGTCGCGAAAGCCTGCACGTGTTAAACTAATTAATTGGCCGGTAACACCTTCGTGGGTTCTATCCCGACCCTGACGCATAAATATATTTATACATTTGGAGTTTGCACGTTCTCCCCGTGGTAACGTGGATTTTTCTCCGGGTCCTCTGGTTTTTCCCACTCACACATTTAGAATCAACATCACGCGTTTCGAAAAATTGGCTGCTGCTATAAATATCCACGTGATGAGCCACTTCTGAAAAAGAGCCACAGAGCTCAGTGGGTCTTACCTGACAAAATACAAGTTATTTTCACATATATATAGAACTGCAGAGCTTGGGGGCGGGGGGAATGTCGCACCTGGCTTACCACCTGGCTGCCCTTCCCGCAAGTCTGTGGTTCCTCCTCGCACCTCTGCGCCGTTACAAATTGAAGTTATTTTTATCACATTCACATCTGCAAAGGTCACCTCCAGAAAAAGCGCACCTCTTAATTGGTCTGCGCCTTACACTAAAGGTTGCACGGTACAGATGTGAAATCACAGTCGAAGGTCATCATGAAACGTCCGATGTTTCCCCGGTAATGTCACGACATTTGGACAGAATTTGTGGCAGCGATGCAAAGAGGAGGTCACTGTGGTGATGCGGATCTGTAGCAGAGTGAGTGATCGTTACAGCTTGGAAGTGGGAGACCAGTACCCTCAGACATCTGCCTCTCTGCCCTATCAAGCCATACGGGATTTTTTTATCACCTCGATCTGTACTTCATTTTGATATTGTGTCAGACTTCCATTAAACCCGAATATTCCTGGGCGTCCCTAAAGACGCTCACAGCTTCCCTCCTTATTGAGTGTCACCTGGCCACCCGTCATCCTTTAGCCATTCCCTGAAGGGTTTGTTTTACCAATTGCCGGTGATTGGTGGTAGCTGCTGAGTAAATATATAGGTGGGTATGGATGCCAGCAGTTTTAGAAGAGTGAAAAGGGGGCCACAGGAGAGGAGAGAAGTTGATAATTGCATCTTATTTAAGTGCTGAACAGTAACCCTCAAGTGCATGCTCAACATTGGGGCAGCAGGGACTTTAGGGGGCTAAAAGAAAGCACAATAAAGTAGTGCGGTTTCGTTTTTGTATTATCTGTGTAAGGGGCTGTCCAATTGATGTGCAGCGTTGCGGCATGCAGTGGAATGAATGGCGCTATGTAAAATTAAAAAAATGGAATTATTATCATAGTCTGATTTTATGAATATAATAGCACACGTGTGAAGGGGCGGGGACTACACACAAAGAAGGGGTGGGTCCTATAAAGGGAAAGGCCACGGAGCCGAAAGAGAAAGAGGACATTTGGAGGGGGGTGGGGCCTAAACAGGAAGGGATGGGGCCTAAGGAGTAAGAGGCTGGGACCTACAGAGGAAGGTCTACTTTCGAGGTTGAACTTCCCTGTGGATCCAAGAAAATTTAAGTAACCAAATAAATGAACAGCGTGGCGCCAAGGCCTATCCCCGACTCGGCGAGCGCCGGGGGCTTCGTTGTCTCGACCCCTCCCACTACCCCCCCCCCCCCACCGTCTATCTTCTATCACTGGACTGTCACAATTTTGCCCCCCCCGCCACCCCCCCAAAAAAAGTTAATTAAAATGTCTGCAGGCTTGCATTGATTTAGGCTAAACTATGTATAGTTATAATTAGCTGCAGTCTATTTTGATGACGAACAATACAGCCTTAAAGTTGATGAGAATGATGGTACAGTGTTTGCATATTGATCCCTGTGGCATCATAACCAGTTCTGCTTGCAATTCCAGGTAGAATGAGGTCACAAGCCACGCGCAATCGAGGCCCGCTTGTTGCCGTATCGCTTCAATCCACGCAGCCTCTACCGCCACCTTAGATTGGTTGAGGGACCTTAACATTCAACTATGACATCTATACAAACTGCTGCTTACACGGCATGTAAAAGATGATGGTGCTGGATCGGCGGCCTGGTAAGATTGCTGCCGTGAGAGCTCAGGCCGAGGCAGTGAGCCCACTTCACCAGCCATGTCAGCACTTCACCAACCATGCCAGCACTTCACCAACCATGCCAGCACTTCACCAACCATGCCAGCACACACTTCCCACTGGTCGGGGAAACACGGTATCACATGCGGCTCAGAAATATCTTCGTGCTGGCTTTACGCGTCACCATCGAGACCTGGGCAACTCCAATGTGGCTTTCACTAACCAACCTGTGATTGAACCCCGTTGGCCATTGGACTATGGGCATTGTGAGGTCACCAGCGGCCTTCGCCGTGAATGGTGGCCGTTGTCATTGCCTGTGAAACGACACACGGCGTGTTCGGAGCCTCTTTGTTGTGTGACACAGCACCAACTCGAGGCCTGGCTTCTTCTCGAGGCTCGAAGCTCGTACACTCAACCGAACGTCCACCACCCCTTGTGCTCTCTCCCCTTTTATCCCTCTCGAGCCATTTCCCTCGAACATTCTGTGCACTTTCTTTCCTCCAGCAAATCTCCGTCCTTCTTCCTCGACGGTTATCAACCATCGCCTCTCGGTTCAACCTCTGCTTCCCACCTTTTTCCAATCCCCCTTCAAAACCCTGCCTTCCTGACCAATCATCCTGGAGGCCTTTTGACGACGATGGGAGGCCCTCAGCCTACTTCCTGGAAGTTTGTTTGGCTGCTCATTAGCTTCGGGTGAGTGCTTCCACAATTTCGGTCACTGCGTCTGTATTAGCGTGGATTTGTTTATGAGCTCTTGACCACTGTGCCTACCCCCTTCAGATGCAACGTTGCATTGACGGTACGGGTCTTGGGACGTTATTGGTGAAGCAGCACATGAGCACACACAAGGACTCAACACGCTCATAACACTTCATTATTGGTTACGAGGGGATTGATATTTTTAACTTGCAAATCGACCCATTTAAAATGAGTCTTGTGTAATGAGTAGGGTGGTGCGTTTTTCCCTTTTCATATTTTAGTCGTGTTTCTCACCTGTAGTATACCAGGTGGAGTCGGCGTCTCCCGGCTCACACAAGTGTTGGCTGGTGCTTCCTCCCACGGGTATTCATTGGGCTTAGACAACCCCTTGACTGAGACTTTAAACTGCGATTCATTCACTCTAACCCAAGGTGTTATACATAGTAAATAGTTCACGGCATGTAACAATAGCTCGAAGCATCAATTCCAGTAGAATCCATTTGAATGTTCCTGATGTCAAATCGTGCAATGTATTTTTTGTTGTTATTTGTATATATTTGATGAGGGCATCCACTTGATGAAGCGATAACATCGGCATGTGTAAGGTGGATTATTTCATCGCAAGGTCGTGAAATGACGATAGTGTAGGGAGGCCTGCATTCAGCAGTGCATTTAACATGTTTCAAAATAGCATTGAGAAGAGAGATTTACTGACTGACGTGAGGGGTATATTGAATCCATGCTTTTTATGCACGCATGACGCCATTAATGCTACGATAATTATGATTCACCACAAACTCATTATGATCGTGACTGGATGGAGCCGTGGTCCAATGTTTAGCACACTGTACTCTGAACACTAACATAACGAGTTCAATTTCAGTCCAATGGCCTGCAATTTCCCCAAGGCCAAAAAACGCCCATGAACAAAAGTGTCGGTGGCTTTCATCCAGCAGTGGACTGACGAGATCTAAATTATAATTTTGTTGTAATGGTTTATCTTTAAAAATAAAAACTTCGCAATGACCTTCATATCAATAAGAAATACGAGTTTGGGATAATTTTGGCTCTAGAAAATTAGGTGAACATTTTAGCAAATAGTATTATTTTAACCGGATAGCTTTTAATCAATATATGATACATGCAGATTTTGGTTTCACGAGAACTGGGACGATCAGTGGGTTATGTCAACTCAGCGACTAAACATTTTAATCAACCGCTGTTCTCATTTGTGGTTGAATACTGGAGCCCATTTAAAGTGGTAGCCACGCCACACCCTACCAGCCACGCAAATCATGACGCAGCTAATGATGCAAAAATCCCAACCCACCACCTCCCCCATCAAGGGAACTCACGTCACTTAAACATCCTTCCATCAAGAGATTCCACCATAATTCTGTGCAAGTGTCTGCGCTAACTCGCCATGCACAATGGGACACAGTCCGACTCTGCAAAACCCACACCTCACCGCGGCTGACGAGAAGCCGGGGGCGTTGCGACATGAAGAGGGCATGGAGTGTGACGTCATCACGCTCGCACGCGACGGACGGAGGCAGCCAGCCAATCAGCCCTCGTCCGTCTGTCTCCAAGCAGCACGAAGCCCGAGCGGGCACCCCTCCCAACATGCAACGATCTCTCGTTAGGAGCGAATGGGAAAGTGTGCCCCCCTAATGTAAAAGACGAAAAGACGAGTCACTTGTTCTCTGCACACAGAGTGCACCTCTCTCGTGACGTGCCAATAACCCCACTGGAATGTGGGTGGGGGGTGGGAATGGCCAAAATGAGTTCAAGTAAAGTTACAAAGATGCGTGTGAAGCAGAGAGTAATGCATAGATAGGCTCGTGTTGTTTTCTGGAGGATTCAATCTGTCGTTGTGTATTCAGAGCAATGACCTTGGAAACAGGAGCAGCGCGTGGATTGTGACGAGGTGGTGTGTAAGTGGCGCAGGGACTGGCGGTGAGTGCAGTGTTACATCACCAATACGAATGCAGTATACACTACTATATTACATTAACGAGACTAGGCTAATTGTTTGCATGTTATTTGTAAATCATGTGTTTGTGCCTTACTCTGACGTATCCCAAAGCAATTAAAATAACGTTGAGAAAAGTAAAACCACAGGGCAATGGTCTCACATCCAGGTTTTATGCAAGCCTAAAATATTCAATACAACATCGCGTCAGATAATGTCTTTTTTACTCTCTCATTATTATTTTAATGCGCTTTGCTTGTAAAGTTTTAACTACGCAATGGACCTCTGAAGCAGCAGCTAAGAATACAGTGCTTGTTTAATATAGACAGCAGCCCGTACTATGCCCCAACGTTCCAGCGCCCCACTCTCATGGGTAAGTAAATGGTTCATTCCTTAACAATAAAGATCACACATACAATGGCAGATCCTGGTTAAAATATTCTGAAGATACTATTTTGATATGAAATGGTGGGGGGATTATATTGGCAAATCTGTCCCTTTGCATTTCACATTCAGTGTTCCACCGTAGAAACCATCGAGTCCACAAGGTGCGTGCCAACAGTCAGTTCCTCTTTTGATGTACGCCCCATAGTTTGCAGGGAGGACTGTTATATACAATGGCCAAAAGGTTAATTTGTGGTAATGGAGCAGAAAGGCTCCACTATATTGATCATCCCTGACAGGGGAAAAACGAGTTACAGTTATCACGTAGGGCAACAGGGCTCTATTGAACTGCTGACCTCTAATTAATGAAAATCTGTCAAACAAATGTCAAATTATTTCATGGGCCATATCCCACCGATGAGACTTCTAAAAGTCATGAAGCCCAAAATAAACTATGAATAAACTTTTTTTTAAAGCTGGTCGTTAGATCTGGTGGGTGTGCAAATCTACTATGCCGTATAAGCTAGTGGTGGTTTCCAGGCACTGTGTGGGGGGGGGGGGGGGGGATTGGGGGTCCCACGATCCAGTGGTGTCGACCTATCTTTCCCCGCAGCGCGCGTTAAACGACTCAGTGGTTTCCTCGCGGCCGAGACTTCTGATCGCAGGCACGCATTATATCGTCATCCGCACGCAAAGTAAAGACAAATATCCCCCGTATAGCCTCAACAGACTGTCGGGGCAAGTGCTGTTAGCGAGCACCCATGAAGGCCGGCACGGCACACGAGGGGGGTGGGTGGCCAACACCACGCCCGGCCGCCTTTGTCTCCCCAGCGGTGATGTTTACACACCGCACCAGGCACTCATTTGAGGCTGAGTCGTGCGCTCGACTTCATTAACAATGCAAAATGCAACAAAGGGGTCAGCGGCGAGGTGGAGACGCAGGCTGGAAACTGTTGAACGCAATCTTCCACGAGGGCGAGCGGCGGGGGTGGTGGGGGCGGTGGTGGTGGACGAAGCAGCGCTGAGTGGGGCTCCTCTTTTCGACAGGAGTGGCTCACAGGCCGAAGCTCTTGCTGAAGCCCCCCATGGCAGCCTTCGCCTTCTCTGAGGCCTGCGTCGGCTGCAAGCTGTGCCTGCTTCGATGCCTCCTTGGCAGCTGGGGACGACATTGCATTCGTACAATTACCGTGCGGTCGTTTTACGACATTTGTTGTCGGGAAGCCAAGGGTCGGGCTAAGAGGTCAACGTTTGTCTCGATACGGAAACAAGTGTGGGGTTGGCACTTCATCTCCACTGTTGACCCCCCCCCCTAAGACAGCGTTGGAAATGCTACGTTCCTATGGCCCGAGCCGAGTCTGTCCATGGCACAATAATTGCTGACTTCCCAAAAAGTTGGTCTACGTAGCGTCAACACATCACATATATATGGAGGTGGAAATGCAAGCACTTCTATTTATGCAGCTAAAATGAATGTAGAATAAGTATATTATCAACTTCATTGCAAAGCAATGGATATTATTTAATAATGGTGTGACATATTAAAAAAACATCTCGTAAATCATATCAGCCGCATTTAAAAAATGGAAGCAGTCTCGGACACGTGATTTTGCGCACCAATGTGTCATGCTAAGCAACGAGACAGTTTGTAACTTTTACGCGATTGAAAATACAACGCTCTTGTTATGGCCCTTATGAGGACACGGTAAGTCCACACAGACATACACAATAGGCAAGCGGGATCAGGGTAATGGTTTCATTACCAAAGGAAGATGAGCCTCCAGTCAGACGTTTGGTGTCCACACACGTTGGCATATGGATAAGCTGCTGCTCAATGTATTACCAGCCACACAACCACCTTATCGTAACTACAATCCACATCTATGTAACTGAAACAGAATCTAAGTTTCCACGATCATTGGCACGTTGTCTCAATGGTCCTGGACTGGAATTCCAGGATCCATGTCCCTAAATCTGAGGCTCCTCCCGTGGCTTGGCACGGCTCAGTTGTACAGTGGATAAAAGATAATGATGTCGGCTCAGCCTGGTTGGGCTGCCATGGGAACCATGGACGAGCTTGCTTTGTGTACCGAGACAGAATGCTTCCCCATGGCCATGGAAACCTGGCAAAGAGTTATTGAATCGTGTTTTTGGATGGCTGCAATGTAGTGCTAAATGTTCCCCGAGTGGGGCCCATAAAACACCTGGCCTCCTGGCAAGAGATTATTTCAATATTCAGGCGTGGCTCTGCTTTTATATAACGCCATCGCCAGATATCCACCACAATCGGCAGTTTCGTGGGAGTAAAATGTCGCGCGTGCGTTGGAAGTGATACTGGGCGGCCCAATTTGCGGGCAGTAATTCTAGCTATCAGGGTGTGGCTGTGGTTGTTTGCCAATCCTGGTGGCTGCATCGGGGGGGAAAAAAAACAACGAGGTTAGTGAAGACAGGGGGAAATTAAAACCTTTAACGTATCGTATAACAAAGTCTTTCCCTGCTCAGATGACCACATCTCCATGTACGGTCTTGAGCCAGTGGGTGGAAATTCCACATTTCCATGGCATTATCACAATTGTGCAAGACTACGTTCTTAAGTGCCGTGAGCTAAAATACTCGACCCAGTCACCAGAGGCAGCACGAACAAAAAAAAAACCCTCATGATAACATGTAAATGTGTTCACTCAATTTGGCAAAGCCGAGCTGTGACTGCCATGTAGAGATACAATAATACACTGGGTTGTATTTTTAGTCTGCTGTGTAACGTGGGAAATTGATTAGCACCTTGCTCTGTTGGGTTTCAGAGACTTATTGAAGCGACTCCAGAGCTGGTCACGTGGTTTCATCACCCGGGACCATCGCATCAAGCCTCACAATTCTCCGCTTAACTAAGAGAGTTCCAGAAGAACATTTATAAATCTCATGACTTGGCCAACTGCGCATTACAAAATACACACAACGCATCAACGTTACTGTGATGGATATGGAGGGGAGGGAGGGCAAGAAATGTGTGGCGCGTGCTTGATAAATGGTGAAAGAGCAGGTGTTCCCGATGTTATCACACAGTGTGTTAAATATTTTACTGATGAATAATGAAACCGAGATGTCGGAGGATGTATTTTTTTCAACAGATATAATTTCTGTGCGTGTGTTACGTTACGTGACTGCTAACTCGGCACCGAGATTGTGTTACGCCCAGTTTCCGATGGTCAAGTCGATCTCGATGGGATCTTTTTTTGCCAGCATCCAGACTGATGAAAAATAAGAATAGGGTTTCCTTTTATAGCAACTATAAACAGGTGCGAGATGTTCAAACACCAAATAGAAACCTTTTGTAAGGCATCAAGTCTTATGCTGGTGAGACAACGCCAGAAATACGTCTCTGGTGTAGGCAAATCAGTTTTAAAGACAATGCACATAGCCTCAGAACACGTTTGGCTAATGCAGACTTGATGCCTTGCAAAAGGTATTTGAACATCCTTGGTGTTTGAACATCTTAACACCTATCTTATTACTATTTGGTTCTTTCGGTAAAGTCACGTAGGTAGAAAAATAATAGATCATGACGTTTCGATCGCAACACAAGCAATCGTCATCAGATGGAACAGATACGGCAGGAGGAGCTGCTGTATCCATCAGTCTCACGATCGCCCGCACAATGTGTGGCAGTGGGCTCTATAAGTTTACGCTGCACAATTCGTCCGAGACGCATCCCCCCACTCTCCACAGCGTAGTAAGCCCCGTCTGATTTGGTGCTAGGATTTGAATGTCACGGGAGGCGCAGCTGTGTACGGCGGTGCATCTGGATTCTTTCCACGCTGTGGATCCACCGTTGACGGATGCGCGTGTGTTGTACCCGCGTGTTGGGACTTGCTGCCGGCTGGTAACCAGCGGCGTTTGGATAAGACCAGGACCCTCCTTGTGTGGCTGTGGCCCGTGTTTGGTCGGTGCTGGGTTCGATGGCAGCTCTGCGGCTACGGCAGGAGACTTTAACAGCGACGCTAAACAATGAACGGGAGCATCTGGCAGCTTAACAACAATGAACAGGGAGCACGTCTGCTTTGCTGGAGCAACCAACAATCGCCACTCGTTAGCACGGTAAACCACAACGCCTGGGTGTGTCTCCCGTGGCAATGGGTCTGCCTTCTTCACTAGTCCCCATGGCTTGAAAGCGCACCTATCCTGGCACTGACCCTGGTGACGCGATCGCCACTTTGTGGTGATTGGCAACTGATGTTGATGTCGCTGTGTGTGTGTTTGCATGGATGTGTGTGTGCGTGTGCTGGGGAGCGGTAGTGTAGCGGTTGGCGCTCATGGCCAACACCAATGACGATTATCTGAACCGGTCCGGGGCCTCCCCTAGGTCGACTCAGCCTCAAATGAGTACCTGGTGCGGTGTGTAAACATTGCCACTGGGGAGACAAAGGCGGTTGGGCGTGGTGCTGGCCTTTATAGGTGCTACTCACTAACAGCACTTGCCCCAACAGTCTGTTAAAGGCTACACGTGGGGGTTCTTTGTCTTTGTGCTATCATGTATTGCCAAACCTGTATCAGCAGTCTTGTTGGCAGCATCCACCACTTGATCCACTGCTTGCTGAGCACCTTCCTGCACACTTTGTACTGAGACGCGCAAACACACAAAGACAAAGATCCCCCGTTGAGCCTTAACAGACTGTTGGGGCAAGTGCTGTTAGCGAGCACCTATAAAGGCCGGCACGGCACGTGAGAGGGTGGGTGGCCAGCACCACGCCCGGCCACCTCTGTCTCCCCAGGGGCGATGTTTACACACCGCACCAGGTACTCATTTGAGGCTGAGTCGGCCCATGACCGGTTCAGATAATCGTCACCAGTGTTGGCCGTGAGCGAGAATCGAACTCGGGTCGCCGGGTTCGGAGCGCTAACCGCTACACGACCGATCCCCACGGACACACACACACAGACAGAGACTTATACACGCATTGCACAGCAACGATCGCCCACATGCCCACACAGAAATGTGGGGCTTAAACGCCGTTCGTGAACAGCATGCACGAGTCGGGCGATGTGAGTGTCCATTGTCTTTTTCAGCAACCTTCATTGCCCCACTGGCGATGATGAGCACACGATGGTGCCAAACACTTTTTTTGTTTTGGGCTGAGTTAACTTAGGAGCAAGCCATGCAGGGTTCATATACACATCGCCACTGATGTGTTATTCGTGACCAGGTGTCAAGTACTGTTGTGTGAATGACTACAGCACTTTTTGCTCCCATTAAAAAAACCTTATAATTCTGTTTTCAATGTCCTACCAACTATATGTGACAAGGTCATCAAGCATCAACGCTCATATCTTAGTTTAAGAATGTCAAGCGTCTGAATGGACCATACAATCAGATTTCTTAGTCGTATGCCCCAACCTGCCCGTGTCGCGTGCGTGGTGTGCTGATGTGAAAGGACACCTGTGTGATCCCATCGTACAGCAATCCATAAACTGAAAGTGTACACAACACAATTATTTACTCGAGTGAGTCATAGTGGTGGGCAAAATCTCGTCATTTAATTCTGCCTCATTACCTATTTATGGTTTGCATTAATGCTGAGAAGAGTCCAAAAAGTTTAACTTAGTTACCGATATCGTAAAGAAAATCTAAGGTTATTCCTTTTATAATAAGTCGTTCAGTAATTTCCTTTAGTCAATTTATATTGGTGCTCATAAATACTATGTCATCAGGAAAATTGTTCACAATTTCTCTATTTATGTCTACACATTTATGTTCCAATACAATTTTCTGAAAATATCTTCTCACATCGCTGCGAAAAACTTTGGCAAGATTGAATCTCCTTTCCTTACTCAAATTCTGATACCAGATGCTGTTACTGCCTTCATTAAATTTCAGTAAAGTTATTCCATACTCGTAAATATTTTTTTTTATCATTTATAAACCGTTTATATTTAGTCTCTTGGTGTGTGAGAGATTTAATAGCTTAATACATTTTCATTGAGGCAAATGCGTTACCAGTCTATACAGACTAGGCCTAATGGTGCTGAAACATAAGTTTGGATTGTTTAGATTATGTAACTGCTATACATTTCCAAATGATGAGCCACTTCGTGAACTATTATTTGTGGCCAGGTCACTTCTGAAAAATAAGCTAATAGCTCAATGGGCTTTAACTGGTAAAATAAAACGTAGTTGAGTTTTATTTGTATTTTTTTGTGATTTGATTACCTTGCCTATACTTTGCACTGCTCTCGTGTTTTTGTGCTGTTTGTTGTTGTGACCTGTTGACCTGCCCCTACTGGACATCCGTCAAAAAGAGTTTTTCAGCTCATCAGATTCCTCCAGGATAAATATCCTGATTCTGATCATTTGTACGGATATTCATTCAAATAAAGGATGCAAAGTTGGGCTCAAGATAATCGCGTAAAACAAAAGACATGTACTACAACAGGTGCACTAAGAAAAATAATAGATGTTGACACAACCGTTAGAAGATGCTGATGGCAAAGGCACAGCCCTTGTCTTGGATGACAATGATGATGATGACAACAATATTATTTCCACTCTTGTAGTTGATGATGGCCGTGCAACCATCAGCACCACCATCACTGACCCCCGACTCTGGGCCCACCGCACCAGGCACCCATTTAAGGCTGAGTTGACTGAGGCCCGGCTCAGAACAAACGTTGTTGTTGCTTGCCATGAATCGAACTCAGGTTCCAGGTTCATAGCTGAATGCTAAATCTAGGCATTTGCGTATGTGTGTGCGTGTATGCGTGTGTGCCACGGGGAGCAGTAGTGCAGCGGTTAGCGCGTTGCGCTACGAACCCGGTGACCAAGGTTCGATCTCCACTCATGGCCAACACCAATGACGATTATCTTAACCATTCCTGGGCCTTCGCTAAGTGTACTCAGCCTCAAATTAATCATTGGTGCGGTGTGCAAACATTGCTACTAAGGAGACAAAGGCGGTCGGGCGTGGTGTTGGCCACCCACCCCCTCGTGTACCATTCCGGCCTTAATAGGTGCTCGTTAACAGCACTTGCCCCAACAGTCTGCTAAGGCTATAAGGGGGATCTTTGTCTTTTATGCCATGCACCTAGCCTGGCGCAAGCGCGTTGGTGACGTCACCGCCACTTAGTGGCAAATGGCAGCTGTTGTTGTGCCATGCCAGCCTTAATAGGTTCTCGCTAACAGGATTTGGCCCAACAGCCTGTGCTGGGCTACACGAGAGAAGTTCGTTCGTGTCTATCCAGTATATATGTGCATGTGTGTGTGCAGGGGGCTTTTGATTGCCACTGAAATGTACGCACATTGTATTAGGTGAACTCCAAAAACCATCGAGGGTATTTTTTTTTTATCGGTGGATAACAACACCTGGAGGAGGTGTAACTTCACCGGTAACATCTGTCGATCGGGCGCGCACAGAGAAGCCGGGAATACCTGGCGCGGTAGTTGGCAGCGCTGTTGGCGTGCCGCATGACATTAGAGCCTGCCATGTGCACGCCCTGCGGGACTTTTCATCATCAGCATCATCGTTTAAAAAAGACAACAGAAGGCAATACTGCGCTCTATTGTACACACACAAGCAAACGCAAAGACAAAGGTCCCCCATATAGCCTTAACATACTGTTGGGGCAAGTGCTGTTCGCGAGCACCTATGAAGGCCGGCAGGGCACACGCGGGTGTAGGTGGTCAACACCACGCCCAGCCGCCTTTGTCTCCCTCGTGGCGATGTTTACACACCGCACCAGGCACTCAGTTGAGGCTGAGTCGACCTAGGGGAGGCTCAGGACCGGTTCAGATAATCGTCACTGGTGTTGGCCGTGAGCGGGAATCGAACTCGAGTGGCCGGGTTCTCAGCGCAGCGCGCTAACCGCTACACCACCGCTCCCCTACAAACAAACACGAACGCACACAGGGACACTCATTTTGATTAAAAGGCCCGACACTCACAAATATACCGTGTAACTAAGACAACTGTAACCCAATAAACATTGAACTTTGGGCCAAAATTGAGTCAACGTTAGTCCAATGCTTCCAACCGCATGCCCACGTTGGCCCGATGCTGGCATGTCTACTGGGCATTGGTGCTCTTCACTCTCTAGCAATAGTGCATGACAGCAGTAAGCACGTCGAGTGAACACTCAACCCGGACAAGTGCTCGTAATAATTCGTAGGCATTGTAGTGCACAATGGTTCGCATGCTGCGAAGTATATCATGTTGGCATTGGAATTAGTAGGCAATATTAAGCAAAAATTATTTGTGAGGATGGTCAAACAAGAAAATATAGCTTTTAATTCACTCTCAGAGGCAGCTGCTGCTGCTGCTGTCTGTCTGATGTCTGCTGCAATTAATCAGGAGCAGAGTTTGATGCTGTAGCTGGACATCAAACACTCTTTGACAATCATCTTTCTCCATAACGGTTAAAGCACCGTGCGACAAAGTCATTAATCTCAAACACACAAAAACATAACAAGGGCCTATCTTTTTTTATCTATATACAAACATATACATATCTATCTGTGGGATATTTTTGCCAGTATCAAAATTTATGAAAAATAAGAATAGGTTTTCCCCTTTGTGGTAATAAAACAGGTTTTAAGATGTTCAAACACCAAATAGATACATTTTGCAAGGCAGTAAATCTGCATTAACCACACGTACTTGTGGCAAAACATACAAACTTGCTCTGGTAATATTTGCATTGTCTTTAAAAACGATTGGCCTCCAACAGATACAGCCTTCTTTATGGCCTTGTCTCATCAGCGTTAGAACAGAAAACGCCTTTTGGCGAACACTACAAAGACATTGCAAGTATCAGAGCATTTACAGCTTGGGTCGAGCAGTTATATCTACGTCACATTTTTGCCAGTATCAACAATTACATACAGTATCCTACGTGAGTACAGTAAACCCACACGTCTCTATTTATAGCACACGCAACCAATCCAAAACAAGCGTTCATCCAGCTACGTGTAAGACATCAATAGCATAATAGTGTAAACGAAAACTGCAGTTTGACATTTAGAGGGCATTTATGTTGGCAAAGAGGCTGTAATTTACCAAGTCAGTCATATAGGCTGCGTTGCTTCTTTGCAAAACAAAACGCCATTCACTGCTGATTGTCAGCCACATTTATGAACAACAAGAAAAAAACTGCCCATGAATTTTCCACAAGGATTCCCATTGCAAATGGACTGATTGTTTTATACGAGAGGAAACGCCGCTTCAAAACAAACACCGCCATACTAAAAAAAACATTACGTAATTCTCTAATGTTCTCTACGATAAAAAAAACCACTACAACTATTGTACGTTGGGCCAACGTTGGCATACGTTTGGAATCAAAGGACCAACGATGGCCCAACGTTGGGCACAACGTTCCATGTTCACTGGACACGTGTACATTTGATTATACAGCTGGTTTTCCTATGCCAGTTGAGTAAACTTGCAGCTGTGGACACGGAGAGAAAACAGCGCTTCACACAAAACTAGTGGTGAGATGTATAAGGGTGTGATACTGCAGGAACCTATACGGTTGATACACGTGGTAGTAATACAGTGTCATTGGAGGCAGGTTTGGTGGATGACGGGAGAACATCATCATGTTCGTCACCCAACGGTGAATGGTAGATGGCAGCTCAGCAAATGGATGGATGAGTTGCAGAATCTGTGTTTTGGCGTTAAATCCCTTCACGTTCGTGGCTTATCTCCAGGATGTTTCGGATTCCTCCAATGCAGGACACCAAAAATACTCACGAAGAAATTGAGCTCCAACCACGTAGAATAGGTCTGAGGCTCAGTGAACCTCTCCTTGTTTAAACAGTTTCTACAGTGCGACAGGATAACCCCTCATCCAATTTAAATACGGGCACCGCGGTGGCGAGATGTTTGCTACCTCGCTTTGTATGCAAGAGGTCGTGGGTTCCATCCCGACCCTGACGGCTATATATTTGGAGTCGCCATGTTCTCTCTCTCCCCGTGGTGGCGTGGACTATTCTCCGAGCCCTCCAGTTTCCCCCTCCACATTCAGAATGAACGTGCGTTTAAGAGTATTTGGCTGCGAAACATTTCCACGTGATAAACCACTTCGTTGGGCTATCATTTGTGATAACTAGGTCGCTTCTGAAATTGAGCTATACCCTCAGCGGACCTTACCTGGTAAAATAAATAAATAATAGTCAAGTTAGTTATAGTTAAATATGGGGGTAAAATGTGTGGATTCCATCATCCATGTTGATCCACACCATTTACTCTTATTTCAATTAAAGTGAATACAGAAATGTCCCTTTGTCTGCTGGTATATCCGACCCAACCCATGATATTAACCTTTAATTATTTAACCAGGTAAGGCCCACTGAGCTATATAGCTCTTATTTTCAGAAGCAACCTGGCCACAAATGATAGCTCAACAAAGTGCCTCATTATATGGACATTTATAGCAGCCAAACACGCTTAACGCATAGTTTCTAGATGTGGAGGGAAAAACTGGAGGACCCGGGAGAAAAATACATGCGACCACGGGGAGAGAGACATGCAAACTCCAAATACACAGGCATCAGGGTCGAGATCAAACCCACGACCTCCTGCATACCAGGCGAGGGAGATAACATCTCGCCTTACAAGAAGACATCTGAATCCGGCTTTGGCCTGAGAAGGGCCTGGGCCTGCAATCCAGAGAGACCCAGGCATCGAGCTACAAAGAGGTTGGAAATTGGGCAGGCTTCCACATTTCTTACACCAGGGCCCTTGCCAACCATGATATGCTGTTACTCCTACTACCTCCTCAGATTTAAGATCTCGTTTTAGAACGATTCTAAATGTGTATCCTGAACCTCATGCTATTTTCATTGCACGTCAGCATCTGTTAAAATCACCTTATACTCTATGTAGGCTCTGGAGAATTAAATTCGTATTAACATATGAACCGAATCTACTGACGTTTTCCTTTTGTTTATGGAATAATTAGCATGGTTTGTTTGATTGCAGTAATCAAAACATAACTGTAATATAATTACAGTACAGTGTAGTGTCTCTTATCCGTGGTGATCTGGAGTCCTGTTAGTAGACTATTTTCCACGACGATGACTCTTGTCAGCACATACACCTGCGGATAATAGGATTAGAATTTGGTGCCACTTTCAGATCACTTTTGTTATCCGTGACATTTCCACAAGGTAACAGAAGGCGCCAGCGGCGGCAACTTACACAGCCACGGATAAAAGGAGAAATGTCATTCAACTCCTCTTATCCGTAATTATCAAATAATAACTGGAGGCAATGGGATTCCTCTTATCTGTAAAATAACCAAAGATAATAGGAGGAATATCATAACGGCAGTTTTCATGGTAATGTTCTGCCCGCAAATAACAGGAGTCACGAATAACACGAGCACAGACAAACGTAGTCTCACCACGCACATTGAATTCATAGCAACAATGATTTATGCGTTTCTGTCTTTAGTAATATGATTACAACAACGCATTTATGCCCAACACTGCCTCCGTGATCCTCCCTACACTGATACCCCCGCGCTCCTCACCTGCATAATCATTTTGACACGCCAGTGTATATTGAGTCAAGACATTTCATAAGCCCAGACTCTGTAACCACATTCTACATTTTGGTGTGATTTTTCTTTTTTAAAAACCGTGTCGCCATGTGTTACCGATGCCTTCTCCCGTGGTCTTGGCTTGGCCTGCCAGCCCGCCCAGAGACTTGTTGATGGAGTCCATGGTGGTGGTGGTGGTAGAAGGAGAAGACGACGTTTGTGGCGGTGAAGGTAAGTGCGTGCGTGTGTCCTGCCTTTGACGGTGGAGTGCTGGTGTGCGTTGGGTTCCTGGGGGTGGCCGTAGCGGTGCAAAATGTATTTGTAGTCGAGTGACCACGCCCTAAAACAACGGGCACCGCATTGCAAGCCAAGCCCAACGCTCTGGATTTTATTAAAGCCGGCACTGGCATTTAAAAAAAGAGAGAGAGAGAGAAACACACACAGAGAGAGGAACGTAGCAAGAATTTGGGTGGGTTCGCTCCCAAGTGAGCTGTGGTAACAGTGACTTTTACGGAAAGTGGTTAAATTGGCGAGGAATGCAATAATTGTGCTTTGGAAAGTCTGTGCGATTTTGTTACATAAGTGGGGGGGGGGGGGGGGTGTTGCCTGTTTCACAGTGACTCATCGTGAGTTCGCCGTGTTCTATGAAAGTTTGTGAAATGGGAACCACATTGTTAGGCTGTGACCACTCGGCGCAGGAAAGTTGAACAGCGGTTGTACATCTGGAGCGACTAGTCCTGTCATAGGAATGTGGCATTTACACCGCTGACTAGGGGCAGACGACACATGAGCAATGCCCAATGCTTGACAACGTATTTAGGTCACCGTGGAATGCTTTTTTTTTCAGGAGAGAAGTTATTTTTAACCCGACACACAACTGTATTTTCACTTCAAGAGTACAGTACACGGTGATTTCACGAAATATATTCTGCAGCAAAGAAACATCATTAATAATAAGCTGTTAGGCATTCAAAGTAGTTTTTTTTTATTATTATTTTCAAACAAGTATGGTTAGTCTCTCTATTTCTCTGTCCTCTTTCGTATGATGCTTGCAAAGTAACTGGCAAAACACAATAGCCGTCTGTTGAGTCGAGTGCTGTAATCCATTCGATGGCATCAGGGGGTACTTTGAAATTATGGCGTACAATGAGGCGAGTGGTCTGTCATGTGGCTGAACAGATTCCACTTCACCGCATTCCCAATAGGGTGCAACTTTAATTTTCCATTTGTGAAGGAAATTGCCGCGCCTGCACTGTTAGCCGTCGGCAAGCACAGTCCAACAAAGGGGGGCTATGGGGCTATGTTTCATCACCCCCCCCCCCCCCTCAATGATCTTGACACCACTGCCATATCAATGACAGTCCGGCAATACATTTTTTTGGGTTGACTCGGAATAGGTGAGGCTCATGTCATATTTACCTTAGCGCTTTCTCGGGGCGTTTCTCACATCCAAGGATTGTAACCTGGGTTACTGGGATTGTAACACAGTGAGATAGCAACCATCACACAAAGGCCTGCCATGTGGTCTTCTGTCGTATGTATAGAACTATCAGAAGCCAGTGCTGTGAGAGACCACTCATGAGAGTTTGGTGTGGCTAAACATGGTGTACCTGCCCTGTGCTGACGTTAACAGCCATAGCAGACCGGGTGCTCATTTCAAACTAAGTTAACCTTGGGAAGAGGCCAAGGACACACATTTCACATACAAATCGATGTCTGATGTGTGCGGTTCGCAAATGATCACGCGTTATCAATGAGGTTTGTGAGCGTACTAACGTCTGTCTGTCTCTCACACACTTGGAACATCATCATCATCACCACCATCACAGACACAATACTCAGCCATAGCAGACAGGGTGGTCATTTCAAACTAAGTTAACCTTGGGAAGAGGCCAAGGACACACATTTCACATACAAATCGATGGCTGATGTGTGCGGTTCGCAAATGATCACGCGTTATCAATGAGGTTTGTGAGCGTACTAACGTCTGTCTCTCACACACTTGGAACATCATCATCATCACCACCATCACAGACACAATACTCTTTTGACGCTGCAGCCCCAATGCCCCACGGCCAATGTCACACATGGTTCTGCCATCCAAACCAGCCAGCATTCCAACTTGGGTTGATAAGCTGGGCCAGATTAAGATGAATGTCCCTGCAGATGTTGGCAACCAGCCACCCTGCTTCCCCTGGTTACTGCAGGCAGTATAGCGGAGCACATACAGACCCTGCGTGCTTATGTACAGTGTTTATGGGAATGGCAGGATGTTTCACCACTGAATCTGATAACACATGAATCAACGTGTCCCTTTGCTCCAGCAAGAGTTTGATGGTGCTCATCTCCATTAGCGTCCATAAGCCGGCGATGGACATGTAAATCTACTGTTGCCGTCCAATATTATACAGTACAATGTGAGCAAAATGTACACCGTGTTGAGAATTGTACGCGTATACGTCTGTAGTTACGTTCCTGACGAACGCCGCTTTATGCAAAAATCGTGTTATAATATATAAAATAAAGGTAAATCACAGTCCGCGATAACACGCGAGATGCTGAACAAAGACTGAGGTGCCTGGGTAGCATCTAGAAGCATCCAGCAGCATCCCACCGCCTTGTGCGTTGCCACGCCGAGGCAGCCGTACCACCGCTTGTTCCTACTCGCGCGACGCGCTTCTGTTCACTCGATCGCGTTTTATACAATTCCCATCTTCGTTATAAAAATATGTGTTCCCTCACACATTCATCGCGTTATGTCCAATTCGCGTTATGAAAACACGCGTTACAGGAGAACAGACTGTATATTGCTCACGGATAAATTATGGGTCATGTAAAGTCAGAACGTGGATAACAGCCGTTCCACTGTGCTAGTTTACTCTCTTAAATTACAATGTCAAGATTCTTGGTTATCCTCACTAGAATAAATGGCCAGGTGGCGCTGTGGGTAGAGCGGATGAATCAATCATAAGGTTACGAGTTGAGGTCCCAGTTGGGGTTCACCACCATTCATCATAGCTCCTATGTTGGTTTCGACTGGGGTTTGATTCCTAGAACACACGGAGCATCAATACCAAGTGACCTGGGCCTCTCCTAAGTCACCTCAGGCTGAGGTGACTGCCGAGTGTGGTGCATAAACGTCATCTGCTATGCTGACCTTAATATATTTCCCCTGAAAACACTTACCCCCTAAGGCCTGTGCAACTAAATAATCTCTGTCAAGCAGCAATCTCTGTCAGACAAATGCCGTACGAACATGGGCACATATTCGCACAGATGATTGGCATATTTGGCTCGCAAACATCAATTGAAACCTTCCGAAACTATGGAATTATTATTGCATGGGTTTCGTGTCATGATCCACATGTTGATGAAATTCACTTGATTTTCTTTCCATGTTATTTTAATTTCACCGCATTTCGAATGCTGTTAGGCAATGCTGTCGGCCGTAACAATATCCTCAGCCGACTTAACACAAGACGAACCGCTGTCAATGTTTCTTGCGGTTGTCACAGCAGCAGACCGAAGCCCACGTTGGCCACATATCAGCTGTCAACCCATCGTGTGCTGCGTGGTCTGGGAGATCTCATTCAGAATGTGATTTCGCACAGCGGCGGTATTCATTTCAGTGACATCAAAGGGATAACGAACTGAGCCAATCGCCAACGGACCTGGGCTTGAGAACTCTGCTACAGTCACCTGCCCACGTTATGGAGAGGTGACATGCGTGTACAGAGGTATACGATATCAGGCACTGTGTCAACTACCCTATTTTAATTGCGCCTGAAACATTTAACACACTGACCCCCCCCCCCCACCCCCATCGCTTCTGCTAAATGCGGAATATGTGTTCCTATACGTGCACCGTGTACCACGTATTTGGGTTTTCAATTGAGAGTTTGCCAGTATAAATCCCAATTGACACAATGCTTTGTATCTGAATTGAAAAAAAATCACACTGCTTTACAAGCCCCACCACATACGTATGTGTGCATGTGTACGTACTGTAGGGCAGTTGTGGAGAGTGGAGAGTTTCCCAGACTTGGGCAGTGTGCTCATGACCGGCTCCGGTTTAGCAGCAGAGGTCTCACTCCGAATCAGTCGAGCGGCATTATCTTTTCCTCGGTTGCGTAACACTGTGTGGAAGCTACATGGTCTATCACTCCGCACGAAGCTTCAGGTCTTCTCGGCCACGGTCATTCCCTCCCTTCTCTACGCTTGCGAAACATGGACCCCCCCTAATGGAACATCTTGCCTACGATCCATCCTGGGTTTAACCAGGCTGGATTGTGTGAGGCGCTCACAAATCCTTGAAAGATCTGGACAAAATCCCATCGGTGAGCTACTCCGGCAGGCAAGGCTGTGTTGGCTGGGTCATGTAGCCCGCATGCCCAGCTACCGCATGCCGAAACAGCTTTTGTTCGGCCGGATCGAGGGGGCTAAACGGGCACGGCACGGGCTAGAGAAGAGATGGAGTGATGTGGTACAGGAGGACGTGGAGCTGAGTGGACTTGCCGATGACTGGTACCAGCAGTGTCAAGATCGACCTCTGTGGAGGAGGCTCGTGAAGGACGCTACTGGGCAGTTGGAGGCAGTCGCCCTCCAACAACAACGGAGGGCGGAGGAGCGATGCTCACAACAACGAGCGGAGCGCCGGGTGGCTAAAGCACAGCAAGTTGGCACAGTAGGGGGCACAGGTGGTGCATCAGCCAGTCGTCTCAGTCAGTCGACCCGTGGCACCTGGGTCTGCCCCGTGACCTCCTGCCAGCGGGCGTTCGACACTTCACGTGGCCTCAAGGTGCACTTGGCCAGGCACAAGCGGCGTGGTGACGTCACCGCCACTTAGTGGCGAATGGCGGTTGTTGTACTGTATATGTACATACTGTATATGTACATATACGGTATATGTACATACACCCGGTGACATGAGTTGCGCTATGAACCTGGTGATCCGAATTAAGATTCCCGCTCACAGCCAACACCAGTGACAATTATCTGAACCGGTCCTGGGCCTCCCCTAGGTCGACTCAGCCTCAAATAATTACCTGGTTTAGTGTGTTAACGCCGCTACTTGGGAGACAAAGGGTAGCCAGGCGTGGTGCTGACCACATCATCTTAATTTGGTCACCATGTGACTTAGAAGATGCAAATTTCCGATTTTCAATGACAATGGAAGTCAATTAGCACGGTAAATGTACAAATTAAATGTATTTTATGTGAGTTAATGTAGGGTGTACTATTGGCTCATCTTATTCTTCGTTAATATACTGTAACTCCTCTTTTCTGTACAGTCAGCTATGGATAAACACATAATAACGGG